CTTTATTGAAAAAATTGGCTTTTATAATGTTAACACATTTTCATAATATGTATCAATGAAATCTCTTTTATTGATCGAATAGAAATCAGAATAAATTCGTTTTTAATTCCGATCACCCTATTTCACTTGATCTATTATTTTTAATCTGTGAAAATTCAAAACTTCAGTAATTGCCGTCAGACAGCAATTTTCACTTTGTTTACCATCACTACGACTGAATTGTAATTTTAAGTAAAAATGACAATTAGTAATGCAATGATGATTTCCATGTCTATGTCCATAGTAGTTTGGTGTGTATTCAATGCAACTGGCTCACTATATTTAAAAGTTGTAAGCTATACCAGTGCGTGTTCAACTTAACTTTACACTTTGTTAACCGTTTACAACTGGTATGGTCACTAAAGCATGAATTTCAAAACTATACGTTTTTTTTTTATCCATTTACGACTAGCATGGTTTCGAAACCTCAAAAAAGAAATTTAACTGAATATTATAGCCAGGCTTTTCGTTAGGTAATGGACATTAGAGTTAGGTTGTGGTTTATCAAATGAACCGTGAAACCTATCGTAAGAGATGGGAAGTCGTACTAGACTTTGGTATTAAATAGCTTTATGGTACTGTCATCCTTGCGTGAATGAGATTTTCGTATTCGAATAGTCTAAGTTTATGAAATAGTGAGTGCAGGACACTGGAAACTGTTCATGTGTTGAAAGGAATGGAGGAAATATTCTGCTGACAAGGCTAGGACTCGAACCCCCGTTCTGTCGGTCATAAAATTGACAGATTAGCCCTCTCGGCTGCAAGGAATTAAGTGGCTTCATTTGATGAGTCCTTTTTTACACAATTTTATTCTGTGTGTGCTTTACGCTATATTTCGTTTTGCTGTGCATAAACTATATGAGCTAGAAACTTGTAATTACGAAGGAATGCAGAATGTTCAAGGAACATGATATAATAAGCTAATCTAAGAAACTTAATTTTCTTAGAAATTATCAATTGTTTAACATTTAAAATATTTCATTTATAACTATTTACTTAGTGGCATAGTCTGTGTTCGTAATTTTAATTTTTAATTAGCAGTTTATTTTTCAAATCCACGTAATCGTTTATTTCGTAACTATTAACATATTAACTAAATGTTCTTTGATAAAATTATATGAACAAAATAATCTCTTATTTTTTGAAAAATATAGCCTTTTAAGGGAAAGAAACAATAGTGAAAGTAAAGCAATCACGGGCAGGGCCTTCTAAAAAATATACAAAGTTAAATAGAGATATAGATAAAATCGAAGACTTGCTTTATTTTGAGCATGCCTGGCATTTTTTCATAGTTTTATTATTAATAATCTTAAATTAGGTTATATAGATTAGGTTATATCAGGAAGTTAAATTCACAATCCTGGAGATGAATCTAGTCTTGTTTTGAATTTGTTTTTGGTGTATAAACATAAGCGAAAAATAATTAAATGAGCCGAATTATGACTAAAACTAAAAACTGCAATAAACATTGAAAATGGTTGCGAAGAAAACATATTTCTTTATTAAAAATTTAGTTGTTTTATTTTAGTTTGAAAAACTAAAATACTAATGCAATATTTAATAAATACACGTCCTTTTCATAGTTCATTCAATACATTGTTATTTGAAAAATCCTAAAATTTTTTTCCATGTGCTATTTTTTTTATTGGCATTTTACTTCAATGATATCATAAAGACAACCAAAATATTAAGTAAATAGGTCATGGATAACATCTAAATGTAATTAATTGGTTTCAAAAATGTTCTTAAAAAGAAGTCCCAACTTTCCGATTCGTTTAACTCTTCTACGGAACCTTAAAGTACCGCGGAACCCTATTTGGAAATCGCTGTACTAGAACCCAACAGTCTTAATTGTGGGAAAATTAACATCAATTTAAGGTTAATACAACGTTTTACGATCATTGCTTCAACGTTAAAATAAATGCATTACATAAGATTTTTAAGATGCGAGGAGGCAGTGACCTAACTTTCTGTTGACATACTTAAGAGATAAAAAGGAGATAATTTATTTTTAAGTTTCAGTTTGTTTTAGAAGTTTAAAAAAATTCTGTGACGGAAGGAAGGAAGGAAGGAGACGCTCACTAAGTATTAGGCTATCTTCTTTCGTTATAATAAATTTGGTCCCGATAATGCGTATGTTAACCAATAACTATAACCTGATAATACGTACGTTAACCGATAACTATAACATCCTGTTCATAAAATTGAAATGAGTTTAGATATTTTTAGATATTTATTCATCTTAAAATTGAATGATTGGAATTTCCATTGGTTGTAATTCGCGTTGAGCGCATGAATCATACGTTTGCTAACAGGATAGAAGGCAAATCAAGTAGTCTCTAACCATTGATAATAAGTGATAATAAATAATTTCACGATAAGAGTTGTAATATTAGTGTGGAAATATATCTTATCTCTTTAAAAAAAGATAATTTAAAAGTAAAAAAAGTAAGTTTGACAAAGAATCTTTCTTTTTCATGCCCAGGATCGGTTGCGGTAACAAGCATTTTCAAATCTTCTCAATACGAAAAGTAATTATGTTATAATTTCTTTTTAATTAAAAATGTATCTGTTTATATATTGTGTACTTTTTTCTAGTTTTATTTTTTTTAACCATTCTTTTTGTTTCTTCTCTTTTCCGTATTAATTTCAAACTTAATTGAGATGCTTTTGAACTTTTTATCCTTGTAATTCTTTGTTATCATTTACATGCATCTATATTTTATTTTATAACTGTCGTTGAACAGCCGACCGAATTTTCAGTTTACGACTACCACTTTTTATCCGTCGTTGAACAGTCGACCCAATCTTGGGTTTACGACTACTAATGTTCAACTCCGTAACCTTGTAATTTTGAACCAATCCAGAAGACAAGGAAACTCCTGGATCAGTACCCCCAGAGGTTTTGATTTGTTATGGGAACTTAGAGGACTTTGAGACTCGACAAATTTAATATGCATCAGTCACCATTTACAACACACGGTCTTCGGTCTTCGGGAATTGAACCCACGAACTCTTGGACATGGGCCCAACTACGACTACCATTGTTCAACTCCGTTTCCCTGCAATTTTGAAACCATTTCAGAAGACAAGGCAACTCCTGAATCAAGTATTGAGAGAAATTTGCCTTCGCATAGAATTTTTTAATATAACTAACCCGCATTTGCGTTATAGAGAGAGGAAATTCACGAAATCGACTCACGGTTAGCCTGACGGTCTGACTGAGGATAATTTACGTCAGCACTGTGGTCGGTGCGAGCCGGGTGTGGAATTCGAATCAACCAGCCATTGCCAGGATTCGAACCCGGTTTACCTGATTGGGAGGAGAGCACTTTATCCTCTGAGCCACAGCAGCTCATTTATCTACATTTATAGCGTTTAGTAAGCACTGTCTTTAATATATATTTTTAAAATTCTTGTCAAAAATAAAGTAAAAGGCATTTGCTTATTAAGGATCGCAGTTGTCAATGTCCGTGTTTTGCAAGCAGTGTCCCAAAACTCAAAAATCTGGAACAAAACTACATAATTTTACCTTAAGTTACATTCTAAAGCACTGGAACTTATTTAGAATGTTTCAGAGAATGGATATCTAACTCTAAATCCGTACACTTGTGGTTTGAAAATAGACGGTTTTCCTTTTTTTTACGGTATTTCATAAATTAGTAACAATTTTTTATAATTCTTGGCGCAGATTGCATTCCAGAAATGAGAAACAAATTTCCTTAAAAATAATTATATTTTCCTCCAATTATGCGATTTCACTGTTTTGTCAGGTTTAGTTTATAACTCCATTTTTCCTGAATCGTTCATAATGAACTTTCATTTGAGTGCAGCATAGTCGCATCCCCTAAACTCTGCATTCATAAGCTATTACATTAGTATTAATGTACATTAAGATTTTCATATTATTTATAAAAGATAAAGTGTCTTTCACTCCTATGACGTTTTGCTCTTTTGGCATACTTCTTTAGTGTTCTCTGTGCGGAGTTTGTAATTTGCGCTTCAAAAGATTTAAAAGTATTAAAACATTTAAAAATAATTCCTACTTTTTTATTTTTTTTTAAAGATCATTCAAATTTAAGAGACAAATGTGAATATTCAAGAAAAAAGATTTTTTGCAGCAATTAGAAAAAAAATTCTACTAATCAAACCTAATTCATCAGTGAAAATTTGTTCATAAACTTCATGGATGCATGATGAATCTCGTATTTAATATATAGTGATTGAGTTATTCATTTTTGAAGGAGAATTACGTGGCAGCAATTTAATTGCTGCAAATGTCATCATACGGATGGGGAGCTTATTTTAAGTTATTGTGCATTTTCGTAACTTTTATTTATCTGAATTATTTTAATTTTCATTTTTTTTTAATAATAGTATCAAACAGTCAAGACGTGGCTGTTTATCACGATTTACTGATTTGTCAATTTGCAATAAAATTAGCAAGCTCGCAAAGTTGTTCGCTTAATCAACAACTACGATAAAACGAGGCAATTTTTGACAACTTTTATTAAAAAATCATAAAATTAAAATTCATTCAGCCATTCTCTAGTGGCGAGTGCGAGGACATTTCCGATCATGGGTATTCTCATTCCTTAAAATGTGCCCCCCTCCAAGTGTGCATTCGATATACTGACTCCCCATTTAGAACCGAAGAGTTATGTAGTTGTTCTGAAAGCTAGGAGGATACTAACAATACCCGATAAAGAAAGTTAAAATTCCAGTGGGCAATATTCGATTTTGTATTTATAATTTTTTTTTAAACTTTTCTAATGAAATTACTGTTTTTAAACAAGAAGGCATATTTTTTTTTTACGAAAAGTCCTGCTGCAGATAAATGCACAATAGTGCATGTATTTCCCTTAAATAAATAATAAATAAATAATTAAAATAAAATAAATGCAACTATAATTTATCATTATTTGTATTATTGGTTTTGAATAAATTTATTCTCTTTTTAGTGGATAAGCAAGCTTTTGTAACCTGTGTCACAAATGACACGTATGCTTTGGGAGCTTTGGTTCTTGCTCAGAGTCTGAGGAATGTTCAGACAACCAAAAAATTAGCCGTCATCATTACCCCACACGTCTCAGAGAAAATACGGTGAGTGACAGTTTTCCTTTTTTTTTTACTGTATTTTTATTAACTTTTTTTCATGAAGTCCTATTGTGAACTGATTGCAAGACACAGTTCCCAACAAATCACAGAAATCAAACATCTCAGGCAGCGATCAGGTCGGGCTATGTTTTTATATTGCCATGTAAATATAGTTGTGGAAACCAGCTTGATAATTAAAGTTTTTTTATCAATTGTCACGAACTTTTTTTAAAACTAAGTTTCAATGTTATATATTCAACAGAAACCTGTAATAAAATTAAGGATGACGCATTTCTCTAAGCGTTAGATTTGTTTACTTATCGCCAGCTGAGTATTTGTGAGAGTTTGAGCTCGACCTTTATTAGTTTGTAACTTCGATCTGGATATGCAATATAAAATATCTCGTGATCGAAATTCGTAAAAAGTGATATCTTATCACACTGACACTCTCAAAATGCAAGAAATCTGTGGCATACAAAAGATAAGATTTAGTGGATTTGAAATATACATTGATTTAGAGTAGTTATAATTAACTCTTTGCACTTATCTTTAGGAGGACTTTTCAAAAAAATACTGATACAAGGATTCTTAGATACCCTTGTGTAGCAATTCTCAAATAGTATTCCACGGAACCCTAGGGTTCCGTGGAAGAGTTAAAGGGGTTCCAATAGCTGGGAATTTTTTAAAATCATTTTTAAACCTGTAATCATATTTGGATCCAATCAATAATCTATTATTTACTCAATACTTCGGTTGTCTTTACGAAGTTATTTAAAGGAAAATGCAAATAAAAAGAAATAGCATTTTCTTAAACAATATTGAATAAAAGAAAGCATACATTTATAAAAAAATTTCATTAGTGTTTCGCATCGCGCTTTTAAAAATCAAAATTAATTATTTTTACTCTTTAATAAAGAAATTTGTTTCCCTAATAACCATTTTCAACGCAGAATTTTTTTGTGGTAGTTTTTTTAAGTTCTCATTTCAACGAAAATAATACTTTGGCTTATTTTATTCATTTTCATTTATTTTATTCATATAACTTACATAAATGTATCAAAAAGAAATTTTTTTCAATACTAGACTGCATTAAAATCCAGGACTGTGAATTCAACTGTCGGATATAATACCTAATTGAAAAGTTAAGTGATAAAACTATAAAATCATTTCATTTTTCTTATGAAATATTTTCAAAATAAAGCATTCTTCTATTTGTCAATGCGTTCATAGTTGTCTTTATTTTATAAAATCAGGGTTCCGCCGAAAGAAGGTTGATCATTCGGGGTTCCGTAGCCGAGGGAAAAAAAATTGGGAACCGCTGTCCTAGAGTTTTTTTCCAGTTTTTATTCCCAATTTCGTTTTTGCCGAAGCCTTACTGTTAGCTTAAAACAAAGTTTGTTTTGCTACTTCATTAGGCCGTTTTAATTAAAAGCTGTTAAACCTTTGACGCAGATAGGAAACCGGTGTCGCTTTTATATTTTTTTTTCTGGCGCTCTAATTGCAGGCAAAAATATATTTTGGTGTTTCTTATTTATAAACGAAAGTAATAGTTACTAAAAATATCTGTAAAACTATCAGAATTATTTTTGTACTAAAATATAAAATTTAAAAAAAAATCGCAATAATTATTTTTTTTATATTTAAAAATTTATCAACAGCTGATTTTGTAAATTAAAGAAATTTCAATGATGTATAACTGTTTCTCTTAGATTTAAATAACTGCAAATAAGTTCAAATTTGAAAAATCATAGTTTGGAAGATTTTACTGGTATCTCATGCTTTATTTCATAACCATGATTATTCAAGTGCTAAAAATAATACATTTTACATATTTTAACCTAATTAATGAAAATAAGAAAAAAAGTATGTTTGTTAAAAATTCTGCGTCAAAGGGTTAAGCTGTTGCCTGTTCTTCGTGACGTTGAACTAAATATTTCATCATTACTAATATTTTCCAAATAATTTATTTTATTCTTCGAATATTATTTTTTTTCATTCCATTTTAACAAATAAAATTTGTCGAAAAACATACAGTTTACTTATCAATACTTTTAAAGGTGTTTACTAAGTGAAATGAGAGGTTTCACGATCCCCAAATGCTTTAGGCGTAATCTTATTTATTTTTTTAATTTTATTTTCTCATTCTTTTCCAAATGTATCTTTTATTCGATACATTTTATGCTGGGTGTCTTACTTAAATAAAGCCGCATTGATTTTGTGCCATAGCTGGACGAAAAGAAACCAAACCGAACCTAACATTTATATTAAGAAAGTTCATATCTGAACACGTATTTAAAAGGAGTACCTAATTCTCTTCGTCTGAGAGAAAAGACGCATGGAATATGGTAAAGGAGGGGGAAAATACTTGCCGTAATCAAGTCTCCAATCATAACCAAAATATCCGCTACATTCTTATGACCTAAAATATGTGACGTTGCATGCCATTTACCGATCCCAGGAGAACAATATAGCATCAATATTATGTCAAGTTTCAATGATAGCAGTGTGCAATTCTGCCACAGACTAAAACTTTCTTTTTTGTATATACTGCTTCACTGAGGATAATCCTTCAAGTTTTCTTGGAGATTGAGGTCATGAGAAAGAACAAGCCAATCATGACAATTGCACCCTGCGATCCAAATACCACCACTGTGATGATTTGGCAGCGTAAATGAAGACATCTGGAAAATCCGATGTGGATTTACAATTCTTCTTTAAAATACTACCAAATGAGCCTCTAGCTTTTTCCAGCTGTTGGCGGAAATGGCGAAAGGTTAAGTTTAGTTTATCATCATAATCGAAGACTTCTCCAAAACATCTGTGAGCCCTCACATTGCTATCCATTTGGAGAACATTTCTTTTTCTCCTCTACTGTTTTGTTTTATGTGTCCTACAACAAATGTGCGATATAAAAACAATTTAGGATAGTCCATGTTGAAAACTATCTACCAGTTAAGGCTTCAGCTATGGTGGTAAACTTAATCTAGCCCCTCCCCCAGGTTGTTTGAAGGCTGCTGAACATCAAAATCCATTTATTGTCATTTGCGGAGAGAATCGGTTGCCCAAGTTGGATTTCCCAGAAGAGAACACTGCCTCCATTTACGTTGCAATATTTTCATGGTGTTTATTTTTGGTGCATGCCATGAATGGCCCGACCGTTTACCTGATCTGTTTTCCTAAGAAACGTGAGAGTTTTCCTTATCAATAGGACTATATATGCCAAAGTTTCAGTCTGTGTCAGAATTAAAGACTTCCAAAATTGATATGAAATTGAACATATTATCAAGTTTTTGTTCTGGGATTAGTAAATGACATGTAACATAGCATATTTTAAGCGATATTAAAATGTGGAGGATATTTTGGATTTAATAAGCCTACTTCATTTCAACAGGGCACTTTTTCTCATTTCTTACTTACGAAATGTTATTTTTTTTCTTTTTTTCTAGTTCAGGTGGAGCAGGAAGTGGCTTACTACCTGTAAATATATATTTAGATATAGACTTTAGATAAATGGCTTTATGTAAGTCGGGCATTGTAGCTGGAGCACTATTTATTTTTGCTGCTTTGAGTACGTAATAGATTATTATTGCCCCAACTCAGCATAGTTGCGACATCTTGACCTTAAACTGCAAATTCAACGAGCTTAGAAAAGTGTGCAGCTATATTTCGTATGTTTCAGTTAGTGTAAGGTTCCTGCAGGTCATAAGGTTTAAAATATTAGTTTAAATTTTTATGTTAATGTATTATTCCATCGTTCCAATTTTTTTCTATTTATTCCAATATTTTTAGCCCCCTATACAGTTTACATTATAACGCTCCTCTTTTTTGGAGCAACTAATCGGGGAGTTATCCATGGTATTTCCAACATTTCTGCATGCATCTGATTTATAGTTATTTTTAAAATATAATTATGCTAAATTATGCTATGTTTGATGCTTGTGGCGTCAAAAGTTATTCTATTTTAAAATCGTCATAAGTTATTCTATCTTAAAAAATGGCTGATCTGTATGAATAAGTGTTCCCTTTGCTATGATTTCAGAGGTCTATTAGGTAATGTGTACGACTTGGTGCAGGAAGTTGACGTCTTAGACAGTAAAGATGAAGCTAACTTGGCAATTCTCACAAGGCCGGACCTTGGCGTCACTTTCACTAAGTTTCACTGTTGGCGGCTCACTCAGTTCCAAAAGTGTGTTTTCCTAGACGCAGATATTTTAGTAAGTAGAGCACATTCATCCATTTGTAACACACTCATCAACAATGCTAAAAATACAAAAGACCTTTTGGAAAAGAAAGATAAATTCTTAAAAATTCTTCGTCACAGATGTGGATCCTTAATTCCATGTCGCCAGCTTAGAAATTTTAATAGATTTTCAAACACGCACCAAACAAATGAAGGTCTGTGCGATGTCTATTTATAAAACTCGTTTCTCTTTTCAAACAAAGATTGATTCGTTCTGTCTCTTCCCACAACACACATATTTAAAGTATTATTTATTAGGGGCTCTGCCTCCTCGCTCCGTTAAGCCAACTCCCACTATTGCTTCAACCATTTTCTGTTTCTTGACTATAACCAGATTTTTATATCGAAATCAGAAAGTAGTCAATTAAACTATCCGAATAAACACAGTTTAAATTGGGAGAAAATTTAAACATAATTATTTTTCCCAATTGCCATCGCAACTGGATGCATTGTTTAAGTTCGTGTTTACTTTCTGATTACTAAAAAAAATTTAAAAATCGTTGAATGTTTTTCGAAAAAGCGATTATTTAACAGTAGTGTGGAGTACTAATTCCTAATTATTAAGAATTCCTAATCCTATTTAATTTTGTATTCTTTATTTTAATTGCGTATGTTGACTGGTCACAATTTTGTATAAGATTATATTAAAAAATAAATATACCGTATTAAGTACTTACTGTTTATAATGGGATGCCTGCAAATGACGTAGTGTGGGTATCGCGATTCTGATTGGTTGTTGAAACGTGGCATTTGTTTACGTTAGCAACTGTTCTTCCCATTCTATTTCGAGTAAACCTAACTCCTCAAGTATCAATTCTCTTAAGTGACACATTCTACATTCTTTCACAAAGATTTCAATTCTTTCAATATATATTTCTTAACTTAAAGACTGGCACGAGGTTATGTAGAACATAAAACAAAATAATTATGTATCGAAGTTGCCAGGTACACAAATCAAAAATATATCACGGTTACAGTAAAAAAATTTAAAAAATAATAAATCTTTGTTAAGTAAAAGATGCAGACGAGAAATAATTATATTTCAACAAATTTGATGTGCGATACGGCTCTGTATTTTATTTACTTTTCGTTAATTAACATTCTAACTTACGTGGAGAAACTTAGCTCAAATTTAACACGCCATTTTGCTTATAAACGATCAGCTGATGCTGACGTCATAGGTCACATGTGTGGGTATTTGTGATCTTCTTCTAGAAGTGCAAGTACCCAATTGTCAAACTATTAAAACGTGCCTGTTCCAATTAAAGTGTGTTTATTTAAGAAAATATTGCTTAAGAATGTCCTATAATAAAAATATCTTATGAATAAGTAATTATAAAGAAAAACCGCCCTTCATTTTGAGATTTTTATTTGGAATAGAGACAAGTTGACGTTGCTTTACTTATCTGTCCACCCGCAATCCATCAATGATCAATAAGTTAGATAAAAAACTATAGGAATATGTTTCTATTGGGATGGGAATGCGTATTGTCCAATAGAAATAGTGCAAACAGATAGTTGCCATTTCAAACCACAAAATTACGACAATTTATTGATTTATTTTACTTAAGGATGAAATTCAGCCTCTGACTTGGCATCTCTACAATATTCGAAGTCTAAAACTTAAATAGACAGAATGTTTGATAAATATTACAGGTAATTATTTTTAAATTAGGGATAAATTAATAGTTAGTCGGTAAACATTACATTTAAGTTTTATTAATTTTGTATTGCTGACAACCTAAGAAATCTTGTTCAAATTAATAAACTGAATCATGTGGAATTTCGTCTTTGAGCTTTTCGTTGATTTTAAGAAAATTGAATTTTATCTTTATGAAAACTGAAATGCATGTTTTAGAAAATAGAAATGTATATTTAAGAAAATGAATACAGCTCAAAATCTGTTTTTATGAAAAAGGACATGTAAGATGTGGGATCCGTTTTTTTCAGCAGCGATTATTGCTCAAAAGAACAATGATCGAAATAAAAAGTTATACATAAAACAAAATTTTTAGCTAACTTTTTAAAGCTTTTCTTTAAATTGAGCTTTACGCAATTGAGCAATGCGCAAAAAAAGGGACTACCTTGGATAACTTTTGATCCAATTTTGATTCTATCTTATTGGTTCGAGGGTTTGACCACAAATATGCTAATTAAATAGTGCAGCCGATATTTTAAATTGCGAAATCAAACACAAAACGCACATACCGTTTTTTAATGGATTTGGTTCTCTGACCCCCAAAATATAGGGGTTGGCCGCAATCTGGGAAATATCTTCTCCATAGTTCGATCAGGAAAGCGATCCAAAGTTTGGACCCCTTAATGTTTATTTAACTTATTGCGTATTTCGCCATATCAAGAATTTTTTAAAGGAATTGAAATTTTTTTGCACACAATTATGAAATTCGTTTATCCAAAGATAATTCCATGCAAAAAAAATTTTTTGTTTAGTAAATATTTATTTTTAGTTTTATTAAAAAATAGTCGAAAGAAATTTTAATTGTAAGGTATACAATTTTTTACATAATTTGGTACGTAATTTTACGTGACAAAATACAAAATTCGAGGGATATCGTTCGAATAAGTTCCTGAGAAATCGAATTTTATAAAAGTCGTATAGTTAAAATTCGGTTTCTCAGAAACTATTCAAGAGATTTCGCTCTAATTTTGTATTTTGTCAAGTAAAATTGCATACTTTGAAATGATGTAAAAAATTTATAACTTATAATTCCAAAAATTTTTCAATTCAGGGGTCTGTTTAGAAGAAATTTGGGTATGTTAACGGACCCTTCACAAAATATCTTTTCATAGAAACAGACCCTTCACAAAATATTTTAACTTAAAAACCCTTCACAAAATAATTTATCTTTTAATCGGACCTTTCACAAATTTGTTTATCTTCATTATTGTTTTGTTAATCGAATAAACCCTTCCCAGGAAGGGGGGGGAAGAAAGACAGATGTAAACGAACTAAATTTTGCCTTCGGCAGACGCTTCTTCCTTTATTCGTCCGAAATATTCTGCGTTCAGCAGTATAGACTAAATACTAAATATTTGTAAGGTGCATAGCTAATTTAGTAGCTGCAATTGCTGCTTATTTATTAAAATTTAATTTTTTCAACTATAATTTTGCAGTGTTAAGCTTAATCTTGTATGTCTTTACAATTTAAAAACTCCTTGAAAAAGTTTTTCTGCAGTAACGGACCCTATTTGCACAAATTCACAAAAGCGGACCTGGTTGAAAGAATGTTTATTTTATATTCACAAATTAAGAGTAATTTTTTCACAATTTTACAAAAACGGACCTTTCACAAAATGTCTGGACAGACCCCTGCAATTGTAATAAAATAATATAATAAACAATAATAAAAATGTACTAGAATTATCTTTGAAGAAACGAATTTTTTTAATTGTGTGCAAAAAGTTTTCAATTCGTTCTCGAGATATGGTTCAAAAGTTCTCGAGATATGGTTCAAAAGTTCTCGAGATATGGTGAAAAATAAGCGAAAATTAACATTAGGTAGTCCACACTTTGGTTCTATCTCCTGACCAAACTATAGGGACCCTATTTCCCAGATTGCGGCTAAGCCCGATATTTTGGGAGTCAGAAAACCGAGTCAGTTGAAAAAAAATATATGTTTAATCAGAGAAAAAGCATGTTTGTGTTTGATTTCGTAACTTAAATTATCATCTGCTTTAATTAATTAGCATATTTGAGGTCACCTCCTCGAACCATTAAGATCAAGTTCTAGAACGTGAAGATCCGATTATTAGATCAAAAGTCATTCAGATTGTTTCAGCTTTTTTTGGCCCTCTTTACATTTTCTTTTACCGGCATAACGTTACTTCTTTATGTTATTAACTAACTATAACTTCTTCGTATAGGTTATTAAAAATTGTGATGAGCTGTTTGAAAAAGAAGAGCTTTCTGCAGTTCCCGATTGTGGCTGGCCAGACTGTTTCAACTCCGGTGTGTTTGTCTTTACTCCCAATCATCAGACATACAAAGAGATAATCCAACAAGCTCTAGGAAAGGGAAGTTTCGATGGTGAGCTATTATTTACATCAACACCTGTTTCGCAGTATATGTTTTGATTAATAAAAGGCCATTCAAATATTACACAATCATATTTTTAGCAATTTTCGACTTCCCACCCCTTTTGCCAGCAAAAATAAGCAAATAGTTGTCCTTTAAGAATGAATAACTTCAGTTAAATTTCTCACTCCGTTTCTCAATGCAATAATTATTTTAATGTTTTTGTAAGTAATGTTCAAGATATAAAATTACATTAAAATATCATGAAAAAATATTAACAGATGTTTATTATTAATTAAGATTTTTTTCTGTATCATTTATTATTAAAGTAAATAAACAAATAAATAAACACTATTAGGTATTTGCTGATTAAAAACTTCATTCGCTTTAAAAATATATAAACAGGAAATAACAGTCTACATGATGCAAGCTCTCAAAAATAGGCTCCTATATTCAAAACGTGAATGAGAAGAAACAAAAGTGATATTTGCAATATAAAACATTAAATCACCAACCAAAAATGGAAAAATAAAGGTAAGAAAAGAAAGCTAAAAAACCACAGCAGCCGAGAGGGGCAAATCGGGATAAAATGCGTTTCCACTCACTATGGAGAGGAACGAACAGAATAATCGGCATTCATATACATTCAGCATTTTAATTTTTAGCTCTTGAAACATGGCGACTGTTATTTCCTATTAATATATTTTTGAAATGAATAAAGTTTTTAATCTTACTGCTTCAGTTTTTTGGGTTTTATTTAAAACAACAATAGATTTAACCTTTAACGTTTTTCAAATTTACCTCCCATCGACCATGATTGTAATACTTAGTAAAAATATTAATAATTGTATAATTAAGTACAATTATGTAAATTATAACTATAGTTGTCATAAAAATATGGTTCTTCCTGCCATACACTTGGCATTGAACTCATAAAAAAGTGCCATGCCGCTTATATGGCAGCATTGGGCCTTTAAGGGTGGGTTAATGCTAAATTTAAAGCCACCTAAAAATTATTTGAAAATATATTTATTTTGATCAATATGTTACTTAAACCGTAGGTGTTGGGTTTTTGCCAAAGCATTTATTAGGTACCATATTTTATAGTTAATCGATTTCACATTATTAAAATGACTTAAAATTTGGACAATGGTGTTAAGAAGATCTTATTTCATAAAATGTTTAATTTCTTAACTACTTAAATTGACATTGGTGACATTCTTTGAAAAACGTTTTAAAACAATAAAAATTCCAGTATTTTATATATTAACGATTAAAGACTGCTTAAAGCTTGCACTTTTCTTAAAAAGTAACAAATAAAATAAATATGAAAGTAATTTTAGACCTCATAGAGATAAACAATTCTTTTATTTCCAGGTGGTGACCAAGGTGTTCTAAACGCTTATTTCAGTAATTGGAGAACGGCTGACATATCAAAACATTTGTCTTTTATCTATAATATGAATGCTAACGTTGCTTATACATATCAGCCTGCATATAATCAGTAAGCCTGCTTTCAGATTCCTAATATTATTTTAATTTTATTTTGAACCTAAACTACTATTTGATCATTTCAATAAATTTATGATGATATTTAATTAATTCAACAAATTTAACTTAAAGAATTGCTCATTTTAATGAATTTAATCTACTATTTAATCAAATTATATATATTTCTCACACACGGTGATAAATGAAATTCATCCTCGTTTCTTTTTCGCGTTGGCAATAAAGAATTAAAATATCAAGCGTGTGAACAGTCACATAAGCATGAAAGCGTAAACGCATATGTTGAAACATTTCTGAATGAAAATTCACGTGGACAACGGAACACTGAAACAAACTGAACTGTACGTTGGGAAGAATTGAGAAGTTAAAAGCAAATAGATCAACTAACAGAGTGTTTTATATTATGCTTTAATTATACTTATGTAGGTTCAAAAGTAATTTTATTCAAATAATTAATTTAAATTAAGATTTTCCACTAGAACACATTTCAAATGGATTTAACTTAGTAGCGAGAATGGTATGCAAAGAAAACCATAAGATTTTATATATAGCAATCTTTGGGGTTGGGGAGCGTCAGAGAACAGGAGGCAGAGCCCACGAAGTTAAACTTATTAACCAACTATATTTGATCAATTCAATGCATTTAATCTTCTATTTGATCAATTAATTAAACTTAGTAATTCACTATTTAAACAACTCAAATTCTACATTAAAAATTACTGGATTAAATAAATTTAACCTTCTATTTGATAAATAAATAAATTGAATTAAGATAAATAAATTAAGATTAATAACTTGGTATTTAACAAAAGAGCTTCAGTATTGAGATGTAATGGATCATCTTAAACATTAAAATGAAGAACGAATAACCTTGAATAACTTATGATCGAATTTTCGTACACTGAGTTTTAAAATTCAAATTTTGAATCTTCTGTCCGAAATATTTTAACAAATTTATGCATGCTGATACATAAACATACTTCTCTGATTGAACTAACGTTTTTTACGCGAGGTGTCCAAAATTTGAATTATAAAGAGTTACTTTTTATTTGACTTTACAAAAGGGTTAAAAAAATTACATCTTCTAGGAGGAGTTTATATATTGATATAATGTAGTTTGTATAAGAGGTATTTTTGTTTTCCTATGTATCATCAACTGTATAAATCCATGGGATGAAGTATTGCACTAATTTGATTTCATGAAGAAGTTTTGTTAAGATATTTTTTCGATGATTATATTGAAGAGCTAAATGAATGATAATTCTAGGTTCATTTTGAGAGAGGGGAGAGAAATAATTTATTTTGCTGCTAAACATTAGATGTTGGAGCTTTCAGTAGATGAAATTACTTAGTAAAAATCTCTAAGGATTTTTTTTTTAATAGAGGAAACTTCCAAGCGCGTTTAGCCTCAAAAAGCCTACAACTTAAAGCGAACGCTACCTCTCTTGTAGCTAATACCGAGCGCTAAGACTCGAACAATCCAAATGAATGTCGGAGATTTATAGATTTTGTTATTTGCGGACAATAAATGACAGCATAACGTAATCTTTAGTTCCTCACTCACAAAAAAGAGCACGATATGGACTCGGAAGCAAATTTATTTAATTCAATCAACCAATTTACTCAATGTCACTACGCACATTTAACAACTAAAATCTCTAATTCTTATTTTACCGTACAGATACTTTCTATTCTTTTTGCAAATGTAATAGGCGATGGTTACGCAATTTTCCAACTCTTCACTCTTTCCCTCTCTCTCTTCTTTTTGATAAATTTTACATTTTTCCAACGCCAGTGTATTGTAATTTCTTACTGATACGTTTTGCCATGGCGGAAAAAAAAACTTGATATGCCGAAACCATGATAACAGCAAAGTGTAGTGAATGGACAAATCACGATTATTATATTTTTAAATAACATAATTCGAGTAACAAGAGCCGTGATGGCTCAGGGGATAGAGCGTTTGCCTTCCAATGAGGTGAACCGGGTTCGAATTCCAGTTGATACGAATTCTGCATCCGGCTTTCACCGACCACAATGCTGACGTGAAATATCCTCAGTGGTAGACGGATCGTGGGTTAGTCCCCTTGCCGTCAGGCTAACCGTGGGAGGTTCTCGTGGTCTTCCTCCCCATGTAACGCAAATGCAGGTTAGTTCCATCAAAAAGTCCTCCACGAAGGCAAAATTTCTCCCAATACTTGAGCCAGGAGTTTCCTTGTCTTCTGGATTGGGTTCAACATTACAAGGCTACGTAATTGAACATTAGCAGTCGTAAACCCAAAAATTGGGTCGACTGTTCAACGACGGTTATAAAATATAATTAGAGTGACAATCTTAGAGCTAATTGTACGCAATAAACGTTGTTCTCATAGCTTGAGTGTGATTGTGCTAATTATTTATCGAGTTTAATATGTTGCAGGTTCGGAAAGGATGTGAAAATTGTTCACTTCTTGGGTCCCATCAAGCCGTGGATGGAGTTCTACAATAGTGAAACAGGTCGAGTACAACCTAACAGTCCACACTCTCAGGAACACCTGCAAATGTGGTGGGATGTCTTCATGAAACACGTCCAACCGAATCTCTCCGAAGAATGCGTAAGCACATAAGCCTTCCTATGAATTAATATCTACTTTGAAGAAGTTATTAAAGAGCTTAAATTATACTAAAATATGAATAGAGTGGAATCCAAGTGATGTGATACGTTTCGCCAAATACTCGGCACCTTAGACGTCGCGGGTTCGAACCCCATAGTAACGCTGGATTTATTTTCGTGCTGTTTTTCCTTCATTAGTTTAGTTTTTCAGCCATTATTTTTATAGAACAAGGCTGTATATGTGTATAAAAGAACAAGAATTCAGTAAAACTAATCCATAAGTATAAATCTTCGTAATTTTTTTATATTAAAAAAAGTGTACTAAAATATATTTATAATTTTTTTTCCCAATGAGCTGCACAATCGGTCTTACTGATGAGCAGACCTAGTGCGCTCTCCAGAAGTGGTATCCACTCTTTCAGGACCACCACAATGGGTGAGATACCGTTGGTCATGTTAATTTGAACGTCTAGTTTCTGCCACGCTAGATGGCAGCACCGAGACTCTATTTGGATGCTAAAGTGCACTAGGAATTTTTAATTTTTCCGGAAATGCCAAGAGCCAATAAGGCACTCCAGGGATCTTTTACATGCCGCATAATCATACGACATGGCCGCTGAGGATTTTCGGCATCCCGAAAATCCGGTGTCTGGGCCGGGGAATATGTAATGTATAATGTTTTATATAATGTATATTGAATATATACATTATATAGAAGATATAATGTATTAAATATATACATTATATCTTTTATATAATGTATATATTCAATATACATTACATAAAAGATACATAATTTATATTGTTTTCGTTTGAGGCAATACAGCTGATTCTCAGGGGTGATTGTTTTCCTGGTGTACCCCAAAATTCCGTAGTTTTCGTATCATCCTTCAGGATGTAAAAATTAAAAGCAGAACATATGAGTTTTCAGGGAATATCCCAGAATTCCGCGTTTCTAAGTACCGTTGGTTCCGCTAATCAAAAACTTCTAATCCTACGAAATTTTCACGGGATTCAGCAATCTAAGATTTAAATTTTGAATCTTTCGCTGAATCCCGTTAACGAGATGTTTACATACATGTAATTCTGGCGGTTCGGCGGATTTTCGCCATTTTGAATAGTTGGAACTGTACCCGGAATCTGCTAATAACGCGGTCCTTATTCACGTGATTATAATATCAAACATTGATTTCCGTATTTACCGAATTTAAAAGTCACACGTTGCGATTCGTATTCACCTGATTAAAAAATCGTACATCGTGATTCGTATTCACACGATTTAAAAATCCAATATCGTGAATTTGTGCTGAAATCAGTTAAGAGATTTATATTCACGCATTTTTAAAATCCAATATTGGGATTTATATTTACTCGTTTGCAACATCAAAAATAGATTTCGTATTTATACGTAACTTACAAGCTACGCAGTTCGTTTTCAAGCAACCTGAAAATCATGCATCGTAATTCGTCTTCACTTGTTTTTAAAAACCAATATCGCGATTCATATTCACGAGTTTTAAAGTCCAATGCCGCTATTCCTATTCATGCAATATTTAAATCCGATAACACGATTTATATCCACACGATTTTAATATCCAATATCGCCATTCTTGTAAAAACTAAGATTTTTCTCAACTTATTTACTATATAAGTGAGATATTCTTCATTTGTAGGTAAATATTAATCTTATTGCAGAAAATTATGTTGAATACGAAACATGTATGTTACATAAATTGATATTTTAATATCGATTTTTTAAAGGCTTTTCATGTTAGAATCATTCTAATATTTGTGCCATTTATCTCAAAAATTGTGACTTTAATCCATTTGTGCGTAGCATCCGTTTATTAGAACAACTGCTTTAAAAAAAGGGGGATGTGCAGTATTTTATTACTAGCATAGTTTTGTTTCGGAAAATGACGATACTTTTAATTCTGTCTACCATAATGCACTAACATGAAAAATATTTGTGATAGATCAAAGCATAGTGTCTTATTAAACCCGAAGAGGTAAGTAAAAATTTGAGGGGTAAACTTGGGGGAAGGTATAAGGATTGAGAATTGCACAGCAAAGTCATGAATTGTCATTTTAATCCGCTGAAGATGTTTCCACATTATGAACTGGCAGTTCGTGCATATTTGAAACGATGCTTTTATTATTTATCTATACATTTTCAGCAATTGTCAAAAATCGTATTCGAATAGGTACAGAAATAGAGCATTCATCTTAATTTAATGATTTGGAGATCAACTTGGCGAGCTTGACAAGTTAATCTCTGATTCATTACGTAAAATGACTATTTATGAGCCTATTTGAATGCGATCTTTGACTATTAATACTAAAAAGATAAAATTAAGAATTAATATTCGTAAAAGCACCTTTTCAAATGCACATGAAGAGCCAGTTCATAATAGGGAAGCAGCTCTAGCGACATACAATGACATTTCCTGGTATGAGTTGCTGAGCAATTTTTAATCCTTACGTCGTGCTCTATCCCCCTTCTAAATTTGTAAGCTATACTGAATCACCCTATGCGTGCTACCACTTTTTACTTAATAACTTTATTTAAAGTCATGCATTAGACCAGTTGTTATTCGAAAAGCTGCCTTGAAGTTACACGATTTCTCCACTTCCTACGCTTTCTCCTCCCATGGTTTCAGCTAATCTTGTTTTCCCCCACTGCAATAAGTAATCAGTTGGAATAAACATGATACACCAAAAGCATGGTAATGGAGGAGGGAAGTGTGGAGAGTGGGAAAATTGCACAGTTTTAAGATACCTAATCCATTGACAGCAATTATAATTGATTTTTCTTCTTTAGACTGGAATAGCCGGCGAGCTCTCTAAGCTTCAACTGGGTGTATCAGGTTCAGGATTAACGGAAAGTTCTGAATCCCGAAGATATGCATGGGAGCGTGGTCAAGTTGATTATATGGGCAAGGATGCCTTCAGCAATATCGAAAAGAAACTTCAAGAATCTATCGACAAAGAACCTAAAAAGTAGATTGTCTGAGTGTGTGACTAACTAATCTGTGGTTTTCATCCGTCAAATTTTTATTTATTTTTTACTGAGTACAATCTTTTTTTTTTTGTCTAATATGTCTGCTCACTTTTTTGAAGGAGGAATTAATGTATCTCTCCAGCAGTGCTATGGAATTATATGTACAGTTGAAACTAACCTACGCAGTTTAGTACTCATTGAGAAAATTAATACTTTAGAGTTCGATTTATTTATTTATTTTTCTAAAGCAAACAAAAAAAATAATCACCCATAAATTGGCTAAAAAATGCAAGTGTAGCTATAATAAATTATTAAAAATATATATTATCAAGTGAACCTTAAAATGGCATCATCGTATTCTGTTTTTAATTGCTTCAAAAGTAATTATAAGATAAACAGCATTAAACACGAACGCAACTGATCTTCGAATTTTTTTAACACAAAAAATTGCTAACAATTAGGTTAAAAATTGTAGGGAATGTAAGTATAGCTAAAAATAGCACCCGTAACCCGGTAAGGCTATTTTTAGGGAAATGAATTAAAAGAAGCGGATATTATTCCTTATCAAACACAAGTTAGTCGACAATTTGGCTTAAAATTATAAAAACACAAGTGTAGCTGAAAATGGCACCACAAGCGTTTCTAAAACCATTTTATATTTTATTTAAGCAACAGTAAAGAATTTTTAATTTATTCATTTCTGTTTTTATTTTTTTAAATTTTTGGAAGTTTTTGTTTGATAAAAAATATTTTTGAAACAGTTTTTATTTTTCATTTATTATACAAAGAGCTTTAAAACATTATGTTCCACCGCTCATATAAAGTTTTGTTTAGATTTGTTTTCGTTTGTCTTGCATGCATTATTGCATTGCATTGCATGCTTTGAAGCATATTTGTCTGCAATGCATGCGGTGTTTGATTTATTGCAAAGCATGCAGTTTTGAGTGGTTCAACTTTTGTGAGCTTGCTCTTACTTTTGCATTTTTATCAGCAACAGAAACTTTTTTTTTGTTTTGTTTCATCACTTTATTCAATAAATTCTTTTAAAAATGAAGATGCAAGCTTTTTTTTTTTTTCAAGCGTATCGGTTCTCAGCCATTGCTCGAAATTGAAATATATTTTACTCATTTGTATATTTTGAAAATAAATATAAAATCCCTTTGGAAAAAAAATAAAATCCTCTTGTTCACAAATATATTTTTTCAGAACTTTGGTCGAATGTTAGGTTTTTCAGTTTGCAATTTTTAAGTAGAAAATGAATGTGTCCAAAAAAAATTTCTTTCTTAAAATTAACAAAGTTTAACAGTTTAGTTGTTACACGCCATCAATGGTGTATCAATGAGGGTCTGATTACTGCTACATTTGGCATACTGTTCTCATTATAAATAGAATGGGTGTCTTAAGATTACGCAACTCTTCATAATTATCCGCTCTCCGTTACTATGGTTTCCTGAAACCATGGTAACAGTGAGGAAAAGCGTGGAGAGTGGAAAAATTGCATATCCTTGAATCACCTACTTTTTTTACAAAATATAACAGCAGATATTGGAGCCCTAAAATGTGCCAATACCGAATTTATAAACATATTACAAACACCTGTGACATGCGCATAATATCAGGTGCCAAACGTACATAAAGATAAATTTATTAAAGTTTTTTTTTTAAAAAAAAATGCTTGAAAAATCGATTTTTATATTTTCTAGCTGTTGGATTTTTATCCAATTAAGTGATTACGGATACCGGACTGCCGTTAAATTACTGTTTAATGTGCCAAATTTTTTGCTACTTTACTGCGTTCTCAGTGGTCTAGTCTCGAGTGCATAAAATGAAATTTATTGTTTAAAATTGTTTTTTCTTAAAAATAACTTATCATTTCCCGCCAAAAAGGTGTCTAAGCCAAACTATTGTGTTAGAACGACATTTTTGTTGTTAAATTGGCATAATTTATGTAATTTACATTTGAGTGATTAAATGGTTTTATATTTTTACTGTCTGGAGTGAGTTATTGCTTTTATTAACTATGTTTTTATATTTAAAAAAAGTCGTTTTGTACTGTACGATTGCTTTGAATTACGGAAAAAAAGCACCGGAAGAAAAAGCCCGAAAATATAACATCAGAAAAAGCTAGCACCGGAAAAAAAGCATTTCTTTAATAAGCTCATAGATGTTAAATCCGATTTGATTTGGACCGTTAAACCGAATTTAATGTAATTAATTATTCAATCACAAGTAGATATTTATTAAATAAATTAAAATACAAAGTTTAATTTGAAGGTGGCTGAATAAAACTTTACACACTTTGTACATTAATTATAAATACAATTATATAATGTATAATAGTACTGTTATAAATAGTTAATCAATTAATAGTCGTTTCTCCAGGTGGTAAGTCTTTTGATGAGAAAAAAAAAATATTAGCAAAAGAGATCGAATATATGAAAAATTATTAGTTGTGTACTATTATATTTTATTTTATAACAGTCGTTGAACAGCCAACCCCATTTTTTGGGTTTACGACCACTAATGTTCTACTCCGTTGCCTTTTAATTTTGAACCCGATCCAGAAGACAAAGGAACTCTTGTATCAAGTATAGGGAGAAATTTGCCCTCTTGAACGACTTTTTGATGGAACTAACCCTCATCAAGAACAGGCGAAAACCTCCCACAGTTAGCCTGGCGGCAAGAGAACTCTTATGGTCCGTCTACCACTAAGGATATTTTACGCCAGCAATGTGGTTCGTGCGGGGCCGAGTGCGGAATTCGTATTGACCTGCATCGTTGGGATTCGCATCTCATTGGATGAAAGACCCTTCAAAGCTGCTGGAGTCTCATACACTGTCAAACTTTGGATAAATTGATTAAACGAATGTCTTGCTTATGCAAAGATCTTATACAGGAACAAATGTGGACACTTTGATGAAAGCAAACTTACTCAATAATTTCTCTTAATCATGAACAAAATGCGTATGTTTGTTTCCTTAATTAAAAACATTTACTTTTAGAAAGCAAGTCTAGTAAACTAAGTTTTGAATCTATACATTGTCTATCATGCTAGTAACTTAGTGGGAAAAACAAAGGTGCACTCAGACTTTTGACAAGGACTGTAAAATAAATTCCTAATTTAGTTCACCCGGACATGTGAGTATTTAAACAGAAGTATGTACAGAGCAAGCACTCATAAAAAATTTTTATTATAAAGATAAATCTATTCAAATTCATAATTATAAATACAGAAAGAATTTTTTAAATTATCCTTTTGATTCTTGCCTTTTTACGAGGTACTTTCAAGAATTTGAAATGTTTAAGCTTCATAAACAATAGTAGTAGTTAAATTTCTGAGGTTTTCACTCACTCACGTGACTGTTTGAACTGTTTGAATCACGCTCACTCACGTGATTCAAAACCTAAACCATTTTGCAAGCAGAGAAGCTCTCTTATTCAAACTGCGGTACTAATGACCGTTAAAGCTGCAAAAAATCAAGTTATTTGGGTAGATTTACATTTGCTCTTCTCGTAACAATTTAAAACTTGTTAATTTACCATTAACAAGTTTTAAATTGTTACGAGAAGAGCAAATGTAAATCTACCCAAATAACTTGATTTTTTGCAGCTTTAACGGTCATTAGTACCGCAGTTTGAATAAGAGAGCTTCTCTGCTTGCAAAATGGTTTAGGTTTTGAATCACGTGAGTGAGCGATTCCTGAGGTTGGATAGTGAACAGGAGTGTAGCCTACATTTTACTTAAAATAAAGGATAAAAGAAAATCAAAGCCAAGGTATTAAAAGCTTTGGTATTAAATAAGACTATGGTTAAATGAGTGAGTCATCTTGGAGGTATTTTGGCAGGGTTGGAGAGCTCAACTTTGTAAAAGAATATTCTTTTATTTATTACTAAGCAGAAAAAGTTTTTTTTTTAAAGGAGAAACTAACTTCAGCAGACGTAAAAATTGTTCACAACTGTTTTCAAAAATTTAAATGGATAATGCAGTAAAATCCGATAAAAAATCGAAATGAACTAAAGTGAAATGCCTAGATCAGGTAAGACAAATAAAAAAAAATAATATAGTCTGCTAAAACTACTAATATTTATATCTATTTAGAAATGTTCCCCCTTGGAGTGGAAATGACAGGAAAGGGGGCTAAAAAAACGCCGAACTGAGACTGCGTTGCCATTCATAGACGTATAGTATAGAATTCTTCCGATAGATGGCAGATCTTCACAAAACAACTGTGATTGTAGACGGCCTTAGATTGTAGGTTAACCTCTGAGCGTATAATTTTTGTGTTTCTCTTGCTGTTATTCCTTCCGTTTGTGAAATCGAAATGGAAGAACAAAAAGTGAGTTTAAAATTATGTTCGCTGCTAGAAAAATCCGCAACAGAAATTTACTAAAACACTGCAACAATCTCTTATGAAGACGCTATGCAACGGGAGAAATTTTGAATTACAAATTCTCTTCCACCGCCATTATTTAAGTAATTAAAAAATTTCATTGTAGAAAAAAAAAGAGTTCTCACAAACCTAAAGTAATCCAAGAAGTATCCAATACTATTAAAGAATTTTTCAAAATATCAGGTAAAATCAAAGTTCTCCAAGAATTTGCTTGCATCTTGATACGTACAATTTGTTTTTTCAGCGATTAAATCTTCATGGCTTACTTAAGGTTTGGGAGAAATCACTTTTTCTTTACTTTAAATATTTTATTTTATAGCCGTCGTTGAACAGCCGACCCAATTTTGAGTTTAGGGGCACTAACGTTTAACTCCGCAACCTTGTTTTTGAACCTAATCCAGGAAACAAAGGAACTCCAGCATCAAGTCTTGCGAGAAATTTGCCTTCGTGGAGGACTTTTTGCATGAACTGACCCGTATTTTGCATTACATGGTACGAAAGTCACGAAAACCTACGGCAAAGCTTGGCGGTAAAGAGACTCTAACCCATGATTCTTCTACCACTAAGTATATTTTGCATCAGCACTGTGGTCGGTGCGAGCCGGATGCGGAATTCGTATTGATCAGCCATCGTTGGGATTCGAGCCCGGTAAAATAGTTATGGTGGAAAAAAAAACAGAATTTGTGATGAAAAATGTTTTCCGTGATATAACGTCCTCTTGAAGAGAATTCTATGAGCCGCACATTAGTTTTCGAGTGGTTTAGGCGGTTTATATAACCGTGATGAGTTGAGTGTTGAAGACCTTGCTGGTTCTTGCCATCATTCAACATTTCGAAACAAAGAAGTCTTGAAAAAAATTGTCAGAATATCCACGAAAATCGTCGTTTTACGATCGATCAAATTTCCAAAGGCACAGTCATAAGTTGGAGCTCGTGCATGCGGATTTTAGCCGAGGATTTGCAAATGAGACGCGAACTGTTCTACCGTAAAGTGCTCGACTTCGCGTGCAGGTCGTCGGGCTACCGAAGCAGAGGTGCCATCCCCTCCGCAGAAGTATCTTTCCTCGTTAAACTGTGAAGTCCTAGACTTCACGCGCATGTTATCTGGCTACCAAAGCGGGGGTGCCATCCCCTCTGCAGATGATCAAAATTGTGATGGCATGTCTTCGGATCATCCTCAGGGATGTTTCCAAGACCGTTGCCAATAGCCCATTGTGCAGCTCTAGTGCGACGTAAATGAGACGCGTTTCCGCTAAATTGTCCCTCAAAAAATAAAAAAAAAACCTCTTTATACATTACCTGTCGTTCCCCATCATCTATAGTCGCCAAACCTAAACGACTTTTTCCTGTAACCGAGAAGGAAGAAAAAATCTTAACGATTATCGCTTTGATTACGTGGAACAGCTTCTCACCGGGCACTGAACGATTTGAAGCTTGAATAGTATTAGAGTGGTTGCAAATCGTGGGGGGAAAAAACTTGATAAGTGCATCACATCTAATGATGACTAAAGGAATTTTCAGTGGTCGGAAATAAAGCACTACAAGTAGTGAAACTAATGTAGTTTCTGCTTCTTCTTTTTTTCTTAGTTTGCAGGTAGTGTTCGTCTTCTTGTTGTTGTTGTGTCCAATCCTGCAGGTTCTAGCGACAGCTAGATCAAATCCATGAGACCGTGAATTTTAGCAAAATCAAGCACCAGAAGTGGGCTATCACGGATATCCGCAAGAGCAAGCCCCAAGCAATCGAGGATATAATCGGGGGAAGCCGGCTTCAGATGGCACTTGGTGCACGTTGGGAAGACTTTGCGGCCGCTTTCAAAGGTCACGCATTTTAGGTGCCCACTGATAAGTCTTGAGGCGGCCATGTTCGTCTTCTTAAAGTTATGAAGTAGTGAATGCAATTCCAAAGTAATTTGCGTCGCTACATTTTAAGAAAAGTAGTTGTAGTTAACAACATTTGTAACAAAGTAGTTGTACTTAACTACAAAAATAATGTAGTTTTCTAACCACTGGGACTATTTTTTGAAAAATTTATAATTGTTTCTTTTTTTAATGAAATCTTAAAAAAAACTTTTGTTTTGTTGAATCTGTGGTAGCTAATTATTGTGTTAATAATTAAAAGAATCGAATTATTTTGCATTGTAAATTATAAGTCGTAAAACAATCAGAATTTCTGCTTCTTTAAGTAATAAAAACAATACTTAGACTTATGAAGTCGGCTTATCGGCATATAAAAAATAAAAAAAAACATTCGTTTGTTCTACACAGTTCTATCTAGAAAAAACCTGTGGTCATTATCTGTGATCATTTTTATGAAATCATTAATTTTTACTAGACATTAACACTAGATTGCCTAAGGAAGTCATTTTGACTGCTTTTAATTTCAATTAGAAAAACAATGATGTCTATAGTGACACAATTTCTTAGAATTTTGTGACTTTTTGAACAACATATAATTTTTTTTATTGTTGATATTAACCAATAACTTGCTAAATAACTGTAAATAATATAAAAAATGTTAAAAATTAATTTGAAACGAATTTATTTACGCATTCACAATCCTGTCATTTTAACTGCTTTTAGGCAATATAGGTATATACTAATTTTCCGTCTTTCTAGTGTTAAGCTGACACGAGTTTTGATTTCATCAAATCATTTTGCTTTAATAATTGACAATGCCGATGTGAATTCTGGGTACAAAGTACCTAGCCCAGGGGCCTATTTACTCATTTACCGAAATATAATTAAATTGAGGGAAGAGAGGTGAGGGGAGTTTGCGTTTGACAAATAACATAATAATCTAATTATTTAAACCGTAACATATTATTTTTTAAATTTAACTGGAATTTAACATATTAGCGCATTACTATTTGGTGTTTATTTGTATCTCAGAATCTAACTTCACATAATTTTGAAATTTTTATCTTAATTTCAACGTATTTATTTAAAAAGAAATAATAAAAACTAAAATATATGTAATAAAAAAAAAACCTTGGTAGCTAGTTATATTTAATTTATTTCGAAAATAAGTTAGGTAGAATGAAATTATTTTTTTACCAATTTTTTCTCTTTTCTTTCCGTCTTAATGTACTTAGGCTTTCAGCTCTATTATTGTCATTTGTTTCTTTTTCTCTTTTATTTAAGGAAACAAAATTGAAGTGTATTTCTATATTGGTTTCGTACTCACATTTTTAAAGAGCAATGTAGGTGTTAAAGAATTGGATTAATTACTGAACATTTAAAAAACGCATTTTTTACTTCGTCCAAGGTCATCATCCCTCATTTCGAGATTTTTTAAAAATCACATTTTAAGAAGCTATACCTTAAATGAAAAACCTCACCGGTGACTTGTTACTTAACACATTGCTGATCGGCAAGTTCTCTGAAAATTACCCCATGTGCCCGGATATTGTTTTGAAAGCGAATCTGGAAGTAAAACAATATAAATAAACTTTAAGAACTTTTAATTTTTAATTCCGTATGATAAAAAGTATAACAATCACCTGTGTGTAATGGTGCACCATAAGTTTTGCTAATATATCTGGTTTCGTAAAGTTATAATAAATTGGCCGAGAATTAAATAGTAAAACTTGAAAAGTGAGGAAAATTATGCCTATTTTTTAAAATAGTCACCACGAGATCACTGCTAACGAAAACACGAGTTAACTCGTGACCGGTCACCAAAGCTTGACCACGAAGACACGAGTTAACTCGTGATCGGTCAGCAATGTGTTAAGATAATATTTTAAAGAAAATAATCTTTAAACATAATTTGCGTAAAATTTATGGCAATAAAATTATTTCTATGTTCATACAGCGAATTTTTACAACCGAACATAAAAATGAATCATGTGTTCCTCAGGTAAAAGCTAATTAGTTGCGATAACGCAAAATACATCTTCTGTTCATAACCTTAATCATTTTTTTATCTATTATCAGATGTCTATACTATAACCGTTATATGACGTTGATTGTTTTACTAACATTAAATCGGTAAAGCGAGTTAATTTTCTACGTTTTTCTCTTATTATCTTCATATAAAATATACAGGTGAATAAGTAAAATTAAAAAGAATGAAATAGAAGATGATATTTTAATCTTGGTTTTCATTTACCTACCTTAAATGGGTGAATATTTTTGATAAATTTCTTACAAATAAATACCTTTTCCTTGGCTGTGTTTTTCAGTTAAGTATTTTTTTTATATTAGTATATTTATATTGAAGTTTAGATAAATATGTTAAAGTATTCAATGTTTTAAGAAAGGCGTACATAAAAATGCTCTCAAGTTTGTATCATTCCGGTAAGTTGGTTTATTTCTTACCGAGAAGAGCTAAATATTACTTATAAATCTCTGCTGAAACTTTTTACAAATATACATCTTCTGCATTTTATTCAGGTGCTGATTGTTGCTACGGAAACATGAAAAAACTCATTTTAAAAAAAGAGACATTTTTACATATGCTTCAAATCCGTTTTAAATATTTACTTCTCCACCTTTCATGAAATAGTTTCTCCTTGTGTTTACAGTTACCGTTAATGCTCTAAACCAGCAGTTCCCGAAAGGTGTTCCGCGGAACCCTAGGGTTCCGTGGAAAGATAACGGCGGTTCCGAGAGTTAAGATATTTTTAACCAGTAATATTAATATATGCATCCGATCAATGGTACATAAATTATTTAATATTTCGCTTGTTTATATGAACTTCATGCATAATGCGAATGAAAAAAAATTATCAAAATTTAAATTATTTAATTTTTTTTTCAAAAACAATATATTGAATAAATTATAAAAGGTTTACGCATTTACAGAAAGTTCATAAGTATTTCTTATCGAGTTTTTCAATTCAAAATAAAATAACTTAATTCAAAAATAAAGTATTAAGTTTTTCTCATACCGTAAACCGGGGCGAGTCTACCCATCCAGGGGNATAAAAGGTTTACGCATTTACAGAAAGTTCATAAGTATTTCTTATCGAGTTTTTCAATTCAAAATAAAATAACTTAATTCAAAAATAAAGTATTAAGTTTTTCTCATAACTATTCAATAATATACCTCATCGTTTGAAACAGTTCTTTTTTAACAGTTCCTATGCATACACCAAGTAAAAATTCATAACATTAAATATTTCAGTCTACGCATTAAATAATTTCACAATAATTAAAAGTCCTTTTTTCTAAAAAGGAAAAAAAAAGCCTTTTTAATGCATTCTTAGAGAGATAAAAAAGAATCATTCATTCGTTCTTGTCATTTCTATCCAGAAAGAATTTTTTCGGATCGTAAATTTTTACAAATTACGATGTTAATAAAAATTTCGATTTTATCAAATCATTTTATTTTAACAATTAAAACGGCAACATAAATTTCATAATTTAGCACGTTCGTGCATTACTATTAAGTGTAAACTTTTTATCACTATTTGCTTGTTTTTGAACAAAAAAATAATAAAAAGTTTAAAGTAAATAATGAAAAAAACAGTAAAAAAGCTGGGTAATCGGGGATATTTTATTCAATCTGAAAATAAGATAGATTTAAATTATTTTATTACCAATCTTGCCCTTTTCGCCTTGACATATATAATCCTTCATTGTGTGTTTTAAGCATTTACGTGTACTTCCATATTGGTTTTGTACGCATTTTTTCAAAGAGCAGCGTTAGATCTTAACAATTTAGGTTCATTGCATAAAATTGAAAAATCTGTTTTTGTTGACTCCAGTTTCTTCACCTCTTGTTTTTAGATTTCTTAAAAGTCTGTTATTTTATTTAAGCTGGGTGCATTTTAAGCTATGCCTAAAATAAAATAAAATAACTCACCGACGTTTTTTGTGACTTACGATAGCATTTGAAGAAAAATAAGTACTTAAAAGTAATTTACGTAACGAAAAAAAAAAATCCTATAAGTTTATAGCAGATATTTATAATCGTCCATGAAACGTATCACGATCACTAATGGGTAACAATACACTAGTTGATCTAGCACAAAATACATCTTCTGTTCATAAACCAAATCTACTTTTTTTCTTCCTGTTATCACTCTTTAATCGTTATATGACGTCTATTGTTTTTGTATCCACGAAATCGGCTAAGCGCGTCGATTTTCTGTTATTTCTACTATTATCTCCATGGAAATTCCACAGGTGAATAAATAAAATTAAAAAGGAGAATGAAATAAAAGTTTAATTTTAGCTAGTTTTTCATTGAATGCGGGAATATTATTGGTAAATTTCTTACTAATCAATATAAATTCGTTGGCTGTGTTTTTCGGCCGAGTATTACAATATTTATATTGGAATATAGAGGAAATATTCTGAAGTATTCATTCTTTTATGACACGCGTACATTAAAGTACTCTCAAGTTTGAGTTATTTCGGTAAGTTGGTTTATTTCTTACCGATAATTAATAAATATTGCTTCTGAAATTCTGCCGAAACTTCTCGCAAAGATAATACCTCTTCTGCATTTTAGTCAGGCGTTGTTTGTTGCTATGGAAACAAGAAAACACTCATTTCAAAAAAGAGACATTTTGATATATGCTTAAAACCTGTCCTAAATATTTACCTCTCCCCCTTTATAATAGTTTATCCTTGTGATTAGATCACCGTTAATACTCTAATCCAGCGGTACCCAAAAGATGTTCCATGGCACCCTAGAGTTCCGTGGAAGAATTCGAGAATAAAAAATTAATTTTTTTTTTTGTTATATATTCACATTGTTTATAACAGTTCTTTTTTATTAACCATAACACAGTTTATTTTATTCATTTTCAGCACATGCATACACCAAGTAAAAATTCATAACGTTAAATATTTCATTCTACTCATTAAATAGTTTCACAATAATTTTTTTTTCGTTTTTGTTAGTATATTTACCGCTGCTAATGAACTTTTTTTTAATAATGCCAGGGTCGATGTTTTTTTATAATTCCGCCAAAATAAGCTCGACCATTTAGGGTTCCATAGCCGAAAAAAACCCGGGGACAGCTGTTCTAAACGGCTGCCTTGAAGAGTTTTTTCGCCGAAGAAACAATAAAAGTACTCATTATTTTTATGAAATATATTCCTACCATTTGTTAACTATAGGAGAATAAAGCGGCATGTTGTTTTAAGTGATTGTAATTGTGTAGTATTCATAATTGTGGAGAATATCAGCCCAATTTATAACACAATACACACAGTAGACTGCTAACAGTGAGTCCCATTGTAATAAATCTCATCCAGAAAGTTTATAAAATTTTAGTTATCTACTTTTAACTTTCTAGTGAAAAGTCAGTTTAGTATATCTCTATCTATTGAAGGGTAAAAAATAACTTCTAAGGTTTGGGGACGGACTTGTAGTGTTTTAAAATTCCTATCTCCTATCAGTGGCCATTAGATAAAAACTGTGCCACTTATTTTTGTAAATAATGCAAACCAATAAGCTTGCTAAATATTTATCACTTGAATTTAGAAGTTTTAAATCAACCATTTTAATTTAAAATGTTCAACTATAGATGAAGCAGTTCGGTTTGTTTTGGAAGTACGTTATTTGAACATAGAGCTCTTACAGATCGATGAAGAATCCTTCAGCAAAAGATTTTATGGATTGCGAAAGAATTAAATAATTCTGCTTATAGAAATTACACTTATTTTCCTTTTATTTTTAGCTCACTACGAGATGACTGAGGCAGAGTGTCGTTTTATATGAATTTTTTAATTATTTACATGCAGGGGTGTGCAAGATAGCTTAAAATTAATAGTTCTAAGAGTTAAGATTCATATTTGAAACCATAAATTTTGCTACCATTAAGATAAAATTTTTCTCAAAGCTGAACAAGTTAGCTTCTTTGAATATATTCTTAACGAAAACTGTGATTTAAATTTTTTGCCCTGTAAAAGGTTAAGTACATTTTTACTCCTTTCTCTTTTTAGTAAGTATTAAGAGGACCTGTTGGCAAATTTCAGGCAGCATGGTAACTTTGCCCATCAGTTGTACTATATTGAAATCTGCCTTCAAAATCAGCCTCTGGAACTATTGAAATTTTCCTCCCATCTCAATCAACCTTTAATAAAGCTTATTGAGCAAAAATGCGCTTGAGAACTAAAATAAATGTAACTAATTAATGTACGAAACATGCAATTAACACTTTACATTATCAATTTTGTTAATTAAAATAATTTCGAAAAAATTAGTAAATTGTCTACGAGAAATAAAAATTTAATTGAATTATTTAAAAAAAAAAAAAGAAAAAAGAACTCAAGAGAAAAAGAAAAAGGAATTATGTTTAAATATTTCTTCTCAAAACTGCGTTTTTCTTTTTTGGTAAAATAATCGCTTTTTTCTATTTTTTGCAAAATTTTGTTACAGAAATAAGATCAGTGAATCAAAATTTTCCTAATTAAAGAATTTCGAAAAATTCTCATTACTGTCAAAACTTAAAAAAAAAAAAAAAAATTAGAATACGTCAATATTTTTGTGCAATTTTATACTTCATTAAAATTTCCAATTTTGGGGATTCTGAAAAATGTTTTTAAAAATATTTTCTGCTATCTTATTTTAAGATTACTGAATTATATATCTGCAAGTGACGTCATCGTAGATATCCTGGCCTTTGTTGATTTAGAAATCAATCAGGTTCGACAGACAGGGCCGAGCTTAGAGGTAAGTGCTAAAATTTAGGGTCGCAAAAATATTTTAGACTGATAGTTTTATTACAAGTTTTTCTTTACATCTGCTAAATCTTAGAAATATTTTTTCGATTCCTTGGCTATATAATTCATACGAGTTGTCATAATTTACATTTCCAAATGGGAATTTCCCTTTATATCAAGAGTGTAATTTTTTAAATAACAGCATGGAACTTTTTCTAACTTTTAATCTTTATGTCATAGAATTTAATTGCATTAAAAATTTGTGAGTGTGTGTGGGGACCAATCCCTAAACTCTGCAATGAAAAATGTCAAGAAAAATAATAATTGAAAAAAAACTGGGTGGGCATGATTTTAAATTTAAAAAGTCATTTAATTTTTAAAAAATCATAGATTTGTATCACGTGATTTTTTTTAAATGATAGATTTATCTAAAAAATATTATTTATACACAAGCCCAATAACTAATTTTAGTTAAGGCTGTGATAATAAACCATTGATATCAAATCTCATTTATGATAAATGCTTTATTCATAAAATTAAGAAGCAAGTTAATAAATAAAGAAACAATATATATATTTTTTTGCAGTTAAATGTAGATAAGAATGCAAATTTTTAATTAAAATTTTTCGTTGTAGTATGTGGATTTTATTGTTTATTATCAATAGTTAATTTGTTGTTTTATTATCAATAAATATATATCACTTATACCTATTTTATTTTATACACATTTATTTTAATACAAGTCATTTTAAGACTTATTAAATATCTACTTGTAAATAAAGAATTGTTCTGCCAAGAATAATTTATTTTCGAAAATATGTTCAGATATAAACTAATTTACTTTTGATTCGACAAGTTGGTTCTCTGACTTCGAAATTCATTAATCTTTTCAGTTTGATAATTAAAAAAAATAACTGACTTTATTTATTCAGTAATTAGTTTGCAATATATAAATAATAACTTTTTTATTAAGAATTTTAGTTACAGAATTATTCTTAAATAATATCAAGTATTATTTATATATAAACAAAGCGTATACGCTTTGTCAGATCGTTGAAAGCAAAAATAATTCTTTAAAAAAAATCTGACTGAAATAAGAAAAACCAACGTTTAATATATGCTTTGTTAAACAAAACATGATTAATAAAAATCATGATAAAATGCCAGGGGGGATTAAAACCCTAAGCACGAGCCTGTCGACACACGCGCTTGACATTATATAAAGGTATTAATTAAATCACATGGTTAGGCATAATCACTTCACTTCTTTAGTTGCAAGTGCGCAATTGTAATCCAAATTAAAAAATTTTCAATAAATTTCTCTAATGTTACCTTAAGCTTAGAATTTTATTTAGTGCTATCTATAGACCATTTTAATCGAAGAAAGCACATCAATCAAACAATTTCATCTCAATTTTTGTTTCCTAATATGGCAACACTAAAATGTAAACAGTGTCAGTAATGTTTCGTTTCATGTTTAAATTGACGTAAGCGGGTTATAAATCATGAAATAATTTATAGTTTCCTGATGGTAAATTATTTAGATTATTTTTCTCAAAGTTCCTCTCTGGTTATTAATTTCTTCCGTTTTTTTGCAGCTTTCTGATTCGCAATTTCATTAAAAATTCTTTTTTTTTCTTCTCAATTCAACTTCGTTTCGTAAGTGTTATTAGTTATTTATAATTTCTTATTATTCATTGCTTTTCATTATTACTCGTTGGTTTTGAATTGTTTTTATATCTACATTATATAGGAATAGTTTAAAAAATAGATTCCGTTTTGCAAGTTTTATTTGTGAATGTTATTCAACTTGCTTCTGCGAAAAGGAATGCGATTGTATTTATTCGAAGTCTTACTGCAATCGTTCAATGCTATTTTTAAAAAGAAAAATTTTCTTATGTCTGAGAATTTAAAGATTTAAATAAAGTAGCATAACCCACAAATAAAAATGATCCTGGTTATGTATTTTATCATTAAGCTTAACATTGTTTACATTAATTAAAATAACTTGGCAAATATTTTTTAAATATATATTACTAAATTGCGTTGTGATTTTACAAATACAATTGAGTGTCTGCTTAATCCTTTCAGGGAGGGGGTGGAATGAAAACTTCCCCACCAATTTTCTACATTAAAACAAACCACTAAAATTTTAATATTTTTAATCAACAAGTTTAAATTTTGAAGAATTAACTGTTTTATTTTAAAAGTCCATAAGGTGATCACTATTCTTCTGATTGCTATATTATATTCTTGCAATTTTTTGGTCCTTCTAGAGTTAAACCATTTGTGAGTACAGGGTCTTCATGGGAATTTTCAAATTCCTAAATATTAAAAAAAATTAAATATGAGTTGTTGTGAACTGTTGTAAAATTGTAGATTCTACAACCTATAGGAAACTTGTTATAGATAATATAATATATAAATTATTGTAAATATGTATTATAGAGATATATATTATATAATATATATTATTATACTTTTATAATATATATTATATAAGTATAATAAAATATTATACTTATTATAAATAATATTAAAAATTCTAATTTTTACTCTTTCAAATCCAATTTTTTTTTCCGATAACCATTTTATGGCTATTATATAACTTGCAAGTTGTATGGCCATCAAAGGAAATTTTATTAGTTGTAGTACAGTAGGGAACCGATTATCCGGAATGGTCGGGACCATCGCTATTCCGGATAACTGATTTTTCCGGTTTTCTGAATCGCTACAAAAAAAGTTTTTTTAATTGTTAAACCCAACTAAAAAAAAAAATTTAAAATAATCTTAAAAATAAGAAAAAACGATGAAGTAATACACTAATGATTATTTCCAAAATGATAGTAAGGTAAACATTTTTTAAAAAAGAAAGAAAAATCGTAAAATCTTGCGAGGGAAAATTTATTTTTTTTAAAAATGGCGAGAAAATTTATCGAATTTTTGTTCCGGTTTTTTGGTTTTCCGGTTTTCTGATTTCCGGATAACGGGTTCTGTACTGTATTATTTATGTTTTAATATACATAAGTTTTGATTTTTAAATTTCCTGGTAAATATAAACAATGCTTTAGGCAATGTGTTGCAATCTTTCATCATAAGTGAAATATCTTTTTCAGAACAAATATGACTCTCTTTCAGGAGGAAATTTTTTAAGGTGTAAAAATTAACCTGTCATTTTAACAAAGAGAGTTTTCAGTGAGTGAAAACAAGTTTAATTATAGTGGATGAGAAAGACAGAAAAGATTTCTATAACTGTGATGAAGATATTTTTTAACAACTGATTAGATGATGTATATGAAATTTACGTTATCAATGAAAATGATGAAGAACGTAGAGTTGAAAATTTAAAAAATGTTTAATTATACCGTAACTGTTTTATTAAATTTATTTATTAACTTACTGTTAATTGAAAATTTATGCTATCTCATACTATGCTCGAAAACTTGAAAAGAAAAAAAGCTACAAAAATGAGATTGCAGTTGATGCCATTAAAAAAAATTTTTTTTAAATAATTTTCTTTGTACTATTTCACTTTATTTTTGTTTTTTTATTTCCTTATATTAATGTATATTGCGCATTAAAAATAAATTTAAAGAATGTATTTAAATCCACTAAATTTATTATAAGATAAAACTTTCCTAACTTGGTAAAGTTTTTTTACTAATTCTCTTTAAACACACGCTCTATTTAAGAAGTCTTTCCCTCTGAAGTCATTAATCAGCAAACAAACTGTATTTTTTTTTTTTTCGATTTTGATCAGTTCTTATTTATTTCAGCTTTGTAATTCCAACAGTATTAATAGAAAAAAAAATGTTTGATTAATAAATGCCTTGTATAGAATTTTCTTTTTAAACTTAAATAATAATTTTAAAGTGAAACAAGTTCGGAAAATCGATGTTATGTATGCATGAAAAATGCTGTTAAACCTGTTTTCCTATGAAACACAATAACTTTTGTATAATATTTTTTGAAAAGTTGTATAATTATTTTTATATAATGTGTGATATATATATATTAATCTTGTTTAACTTATAGAACATTTCAACTTTCAATGTGCATGAATTTTCAAGCATGTGACAGATAACTGGGATTATAAAATGATCCTTTCTTCTAAAAGTAAGTTATTTATTCATTGCACCAATTTAAGCTAATTTGATTAATATTTCTTTTTTTTTTTAGTTAAAATTTAGTTACATATTTTTCTCTTAATGAGTTATTATCATCAGTACTTTTCTTTTAAAATGTTTATATTTGTTTTCCTTGAGTTATTTTGAGAAATAAATTTATTTTTATTCGCAATACTTTATTTTTTGTATTTCGAATATTTGCTTAACCTATGCTGCATTATATTTAATTATGAATAAAGATACCATTTAGAACTAAAAAGTTTGCTTTGTAGATATTATTTAATTTTCCAAATTAGATAAAAATAAACTGCAGAATCATTCTTAAATTTATTACAGTTTTGAAAGTTATTTATATTTCCACATTGTTGGTTTCTAAATGTTTCTTATCTCATTATAATGATCAATTAAATTAAATGTATCAAAATAATTCGATTTTCTTATAAATATTCATTTAAATAAAATTTTAATTTTTCTAAAACTAAAGTTCTATATCATGTTATGTAGTATGGGTATGATTTTTATGTTCAAAAAAGTTAATGTTGGCATTTTTTTTTCCCGTTTTAGAATTGGCTTTGGTCATACAGTTTTTATAATATCATGTACTAATACTAATAAGATTTTTCAAATATCTGTTTTATTCGTAATGCAACCTATAAATATTTTCATTTTATTTTTTTAATTTTATCAAACTTTGTCAGATATTAAAAGTTTTTATACAATGATAATTAACTCTGATATCATATTATTTGAAATTTTAAAACTGCTTGGTTAAGAGATCAAAGTTGGAGATAGGTTGTGCAGGCCTCAAGACAAAATTCACTGTTGCCTTTTTTCTCCAAGCTCAAAATGTTTTATTTTCAAATTTTGTAGAATTTTTAAAAACCCTCTATTAAAAATTGATGTTAGTAAAAAGAATTATAGGTAATTTTAAAAATTAATAATTACATTTTTATAAGGAATTTTGCAGTCCCAGGCTAATGAACACTTGTCTCTATCTTCCCTTCTCCTTTAATTAAAGCCTTAAAGAGATATTTTAAGAGGATGCTATATGGCAAGAAAAACCTTTCATGGCAAATTCTGTTTCACCCCCAAAGGTATTTTAAAATTGAAACTTTAGAGAACTGAAACTTTAGAAACTGTAGGTAAACGTAGAAAAAAAACAATAACCATGCAGCTCAAAACATTTTATCAAAATGCAAACAAAATATTGCAGAATAACTTCCCAATTAATAATCCTAAGTAATCCTGCCATAATTTGTTTACATTTTGATAATTTAAGAAAAAAAATCAACATTTAAAACTTGATCATTTACTCTAATTTTACCTGAATTCACTTTTTCTATATTTTAAATTAGTTTTGTAGGTGAAAGAAAATTTGACATGAGGGGTTTCTCCCCTGCTATAGCTTCCTGTTAAATATATATTACTTTTGAGATAACCTGAATTTATATAATTTTTGTTTTAAAATAATCTGATTACTCCAGTTAATGTTATAGTCGAATGCATGATACATTTAATGCTTGTTATTTTGCATGAAATATGTTTTTATATTTAATTAAATAATCTGTCCTTACAATGAATGTTATCGTAAAATATTAAGGGGTGAAGTTATTTTACTGTCAAGAATTTCAGAAAATGCATGATGACCTTTCATTACTTTTCAGTATTATTATTTTTTTTGTTCTTTAAAGCTTAAATGTTTTGTTTTATCATTAAAATAATAGTATTCTAGTCTTATAGTTTAGTGTATAATTTTTCAATTGTGCAATAATCAATCAAGTATTAAAAATTTCCTTGTCAAATTAAAAACTAGTTATTGTAGAACTTGCACATTTTATTAAAAAACTTGATTTACTCTATTATTTTAGAACCAAAGATAAATCTTTTAAACTTCTGTTTAAAAAAAATAATGTATTAAATTTGCGTTAGCTGAATTTTGAAACATCAGTATAGGTACAGATTATATATTTCAATAGTAAAGGGTCTAGTTTTCATAAATTACATAATTTTTACAATTCCTTTTAAATTAAGTTATTATAAAATGACCTATTTATGTCAATAGGAAGTGAATTTCATGAAATCAATTATGTAAAAAAGTGAAGATATAAAAATCTTAGTACCTGTTTAACCTACACAAATGTGAATGGCGTCAATAAAAAATGTGTCTTGATTTCAAAAATTTTTTTAGTATCACTCATTTTAAAAAAACAAATGCTCATAATTTCCTTATTTTAGGCCTAAGTCAAGTCGTTTTTAGCATTACTCATTATAAATGAAAATCAGTCAAAATTCTCTTATTTTATCCTTCAGGGAATGTTTTTCAACATCCTGAAAAACATTTTAATATTACTCATTATAATCAAAAAAGGGTCAAAACTCACTATTTTATCTCACAGTCAATATATTTTAACATCACCCAAAAAATTTTAATATTTCTCATTAAAAAAGAAAGTCAAAATTTTCCAATTTTCGCCCACAGGTTTAAGAATGTTATGAAAATTTCTCTCCCTCCTTCATGCAGCCACACTTTTTCTTCAATAATATCATTACATTTGACATATTATGTATAATAATCAAAATAGAGTTTTATAGAAATTAAAACATCTTTTAAAAAGTCAAACAAATTTTGTCAAAATAGGTGGCTGCATTAATACTGCAATATTTATAATGTATGAGTTTATAATTATGATTAAATTATTATAAGTAATTAAGAGTTAATTACAATTGCTGACAGAAAGTTTTTAATTCAGATTTTGTGGTCACAGAAAGTTTTTCATTTTATCTTAAGTCTAATCTGAGGTCACTGATCAACTCTCAATTGTTCTAAGCATTTAGTCTGAATGACCTATCGTCAATTTCAAGGGATGGGAGGAATCCCACACAATTACTATGAGGTAGACAATGATAACTTAACGGTATTAAAATAGATCATTCTTAATAATAGTGAACAGTCTAAAATTACTTTTTTCTTATAAGATTCTCTCACAATCTTTATTTTTTTTTTCTTCCATATCTACATGTTTTTTCTTAAATTTTCAAATGTGTCAGTTTTTTTCCTTTGTATTTTTTTCATAATTTTACTTTTCTTAGAACTCTTTAGTAAAATTGAAACTTTTACGCCATCTTTTAGTCATCCAAAAAAATAATATAATAATTGGATAAATTTCGTTTTTTTTTTCACCATCCGTTAATTCTTATTTATTTTAATTTCTAAATTTAATGCTAATAGTTTTAAAGTTTATTTCCTATTTTTTTACATTAGTTCAGGAATGTCTTAAGTTTAGGAATTATGTTATTAGTTCAGGAATGCATTAATATTAATTTGTTTAAAAATATTCAATATCTGTTTTATAGTGTCTTTGCCCGGAATATGACAACTGTTGAAAGTGAAGTCATTTTAAAGAAAAGAAAGATGGTGCCTCGAGCGGCAGCAAATGAGTTGGAATGCCTGGTAGGTGACAAAACAGAAACTTACGATGAGAAAAATTCATCCAGGCAAATAACAATTAAATACAAAATGACAGAAATGAACTCAAGCAAAAGTGATTGGAACTTTGACGATGAGTTTTCAGATGGTGATACTCATCAAACTCTTTTAGAAGATAAAACTGTTGTGCTTCACCCCAAAGAATCTATGTTCTCTATAGCATTACAAGTATTTGTGCCTTATTTAATTGCAGGATTTGGGACTGTTGGAGCAGGTCTCGTCCTTGATATTGTACAGGTATTGATACACTGTAAAGTTTCAGTTATTAGTTTTTAATTATTATATCCTCCCAACTATTAATGAAAAAAGAGATTTTTTTAAATATTATTAATAAACATCCCTGATAACTCATCATATATATTAACTATCCTGATAATTTATTTAAAACAATCGACACATTTCAATGCCATTATCAACAAAAATATTGGTTGACAAATATATCAATAGTGTAGCACCCACATCGCTAAGCTACAACAGCGCCACCACGTACAAGCCAGTGAATGCTCAGAGAANGGATCATTAGAACGAAAGTTATTCAGGGTGATATCTTTTTTTTTTTGCGGACTGTACATCAGGATTTTCTGAAATATCGAGTTTCACAAATGGGAAAGTTTTATATGGCCTTTCCCTGAAGTTACGAATTACACTGGCGCCCAACGTCTTCTGTTCGAAAATAGTCTGAGCGTTTGCTCAATAATTTTTTCAGGTAGAAAACCAGGGAAACCCTTTCCAGTTCATCAGTTGTTTCGGAAAATCCCTTTCCTGCAAGAAAACAAACGATTTGTTCTGTACCAGTGGTACTGGTTTACCTGAAGATTGAATAAAAATACTGTACAGGGTCCCGCATCCGTTGATAAGTATACTTTTATAGTAAAATATTAAGTTAAATATTTTCAAACTATTGAAACTTTATGAAAATATTAGTGTTATGTTTAAAGTGTATTTTTGCAAAAGTTTAGAAACTGCATTCTATATATTTAAGCATTGAATTTTCTTCTTAAAGGGGTGTTTATACAATGTTTCCAAAAACGAAACTTATGTTGATGATTATCAAGAACTAATGTCTTATTTGAATTATATATATTTAGTACTTTCTAAAGAGCTTATCCAAAGCTCTGTAATATATGTGTATTACTTTGAAGAAAAAAAATAAGATAGTAAATTGCAAACGCTCATCCGAGTTTATTTTGTTGTTATTGCACAGTTACTTTTTACACGATTAAAATTTGTTAACGTATTTCTGAATATAAGTGCATTATTTTAATCATAAAAAGTATTTAAGAATTCACCCCGAATTCTATAGTTTCAGTTAAGAAAGTAACAACTGTTTTGAGTATTTTATGACTGTTGAAATGAGTATTTTATTTTATTTTATTTGGTGGTTTAAGATGTCATTTATACTAAGCTCTCGTAACATTTATTGAAATAAATTGGATGTTTTGATTCCTCAAAAGTATTAAAAGAAGAAATCAGTTCTTTATTTTTTTGTGCTTATAGTTAATAATTATAAGAAAAAAGATACGTGTTATGATGTAAACATTTAGTGTCATCTATTAAATTGAACTTTATATTTTTTGAACAAAGATATTTTAGCTTTTTCCCTTATTTTAAACCCCCCGAGATCTAGCAAGGGCCACAATAGTATATATGTCAGAGGCTAATTTAATAACAGGTGCTAAATGGCCATTTTTTAGTTTGTGACAATCAGTGTTCAATTTCATAGTCTTACAATTTTGAACTGAACCCAAAGCACTAGGGGTCTCCAGAATCAAGCATGTGGACAAACTAGCTTTTGTAGTGGATTTTTGATTGAATTAAAACACATTTGAGTTAAATGGGGAGAAAAACCATGAAAAGCTCCCACAGTTAGTCTGACCTCAAGGGTATTCTAGTCCATGAGTTCGTGACCACTGAGGATATTTTAAGTCAACTTTGTGGTCTGTGCGACCCAACAGCAGAATATACATAACTAGTCATTGCTGAGATTTGAACCTGGGATACCTCATTAGAGGAATGGGAGCAAACTCTATATTCCAAGAACCACCACACTGCTCTGTTAAAGGCGAAGTGAAAAATCGGTTTCTTTGCCAAATTGCCAATCTCATTCTGCACTGACCCAAGATGAATGGAGAAGTTTGAAACAGCTTCACTTCTTTTAGGCTTCTTGCGTTCTCTTAGGTTTCTTGCCTAAGAACCTTTAGGCTAATTAGAAAATATTTCATTCATTATGCAATCAGCCTAATTTATTTCAGGCTGCATGCAGTGCGCCCAGATTAATATATAATAGATAGATTAATCTGGGTAACCCAATACGGCTTATAGTAATACATTATTAAATTTTTTATGTTTGCATTTTTGTATGTTTTTCCTTAACTTTATAGACAGTACTAGCATTTAATTGAATGGGCTCTTGATTAATGGAATGTTTAATGTAACAAGAATAATTATTGAATTGCAAGAAATAGGATTTTTCAACTTCAATCTTTGAGGATAGCATTCTGAATGATGAGCGAGAATTCAAGTGTCAATTTGTGCATTCAATAAATGCAAAATCTTCTATTTTGCAGCTGAAAATAGGGTATTAACTTGCACTATGATTAATTTGTACTATACTTTTTGCCTATGTATAAATTAACTAATGGTGTTTGTACTTGTGTTTGTATTATTCAATTTTAATACATTATAAAGTCTGTTATTAGATCTTTCTGCAGCAGTTCTCTCTAGTGCTAATGCCTTTCTGAGAGACATTTTTAATAGTAGCAAATATATATATTACTAATTTAAAGTAGTAGAAGCGCTTTCTGTTTACAAAAAAAGCCTTCATGTATAGATCAGAAAGGTACATATATATTTTTAACTATAAATGTAAGAATTTTTTTTTTTAAATCTAAATATAAAAGAATACATATTCTAATATTATTGGCCATATTCTCCTGTTCTGAAAAATATTAACCTTTTTAAATTTTTGCTATTTGGAAATTTCTTCTTATATTATCAATCTGAAATTCTAGCTCAAGCCTGTTATTGCAGAACTTTTTTATTCTCAAGAAAAGTCGAAAAAAATCACGAGCGTTTATTCAACCTCCGATATGCATGAATGACATTTTTTGCTGAAAGGGAAAAATTTTCTGTAGAAAAAAAATATATTTCAAAAAATTCTGCAGATAAAAAAACCCAAACTTCTTTGCTTCCCAAATAATAAATCTTTCTACAGGAACCCTGTAATGTTCTGCTACCTACGGTGTGGTTAATTTTTTCCTGTTTTGAGTACTTGTCCAAATTCTGTATGAATTGCGTTAGATTTATTTAATAATTTTTTCTCTATTTTGTTTTCAGCATTGGGATGTTTTTAAAACAGTATCAGAAATTTTTATTCTTGTGCCTGCATTATTAGGTCTTAAAGGAAATTTAGAAATGACCCTTGCATCTAGATTATCAACGCAGGTTTGTTATCTATATTTTTTCTAAACAGGATATTAATTTTTTTTATTGTTGTAGTTACATTTTTATTATTTTAAGTTATGCAAAAATTCATTTGTTAAATACATGTCAGAAGCATTTAATCAGGGGTTCCCAAAATGCTTTGTTTTATGCACGCATTTCCCATTGCTCCAAGGGATGATCCCCTCTCCCATTTCCGCTTTATGAAATTTTAATGTATTTAGCTTCAGAAATCTTCTGTATTTTTTTTAAAATATAAATTATTAGCAGTTTTGAAATTGTTAAACTGTAAAACAAAGTAGTTAATTGGACTTTTCCTGTTGTGCCAAATGTTTAGCTTTTCGAATAGGACATGAAATGAAATGGAAACTTTAAATGAAATTTAATATTGCTATGAAAAATAACTTGCTTAAACCTTGCAATTTTTGTTAAAATCCACAATTTTTAAATTTTATCTATAATTTCCTTCTGTATTAAATAGTTTTACTGAAAATAGAAATACTATTACTGATCTGTATAACATTGTGTCCCTAACTTTTTAGGATATTTTGATATACTATTAATTTGATTTTATTTTGGTTGCAGTAAGGTTAACTAGTACCATACAACAACAAACAAATACAGCATGTACGAACAGTCCACTATTATAACCAATTTTCAAATCACCATCAAAAGGCTAATGTTTAAAATACCAAAGATTAGTTTTATAATTAAAAAATTACTAGTTTTTTGCTTTTGTGACAATTTTTTGTGAAAAATACATTTTTCTGCTGTTTAAATGAGCACTATCTGGAAAAGAGTAAAATGGAAGATCTTTTTTTTTATTTCTATCTGCTTTCAATGCAGAAAAAAGAATAGCATACAATCATTTCCCCTTATTACCTCCATACAACCTTAACCCTTTATGCTTATGAAGCAAACATGTGTAGGCAATAACTAACCAATTTATCTTTTTACAAAGGAAGCAATCTCCTGTTTTTAAGAATCCTGTTGCACAGTTCAAAATAATTTTTCTTTTGTTGATAACATATCTATATTGCCTTCCTTTATTTCTTATTCATAGCTTACCATTGAAATCGGCATTCAATGTAATCAAAAACCTTTGCACACTTTTACATTTGTGTTTTTTTTCTGCTATGTAAGAATCTGTATTTGTTTAAGAGGACAAACTCGCTATGATGGGAATTTTTTTTCTATTGTGAATTGTTATAAAAGACTTTTACTGTAACTCATATTCTTTTTCTATTGGCATGACAGCCCTTTGTGAGCCAGAGCCTTTCCTATGACCTCCCTCCATTATGATCTTTTCTTTGAGAATGTTCTCCAGTTAGTAATTCAGGGTGGCCACCAACCTGGAATTATCAAGGAATTTTTTTTATACTGGAAAAAAACCTGAAAATGTCAGGGAAATTTGGATAAAAAGCTGGAAAAATCAGGGAATTTCAAAGAAAAGCTGGAATTTTTCTCTTAATTTAATCTATTTATTTTACCATATGTTCTATGCATTTTTACTTAGATGGAAATTTATTGTCAAATGGTTGAAATATCATCAACTTAGCAATACTTTGCTTGCTTTAAAGTTCTCTCCATTATTACCTTGCTAAATTAAAATACCACATGAATTTAAGGAATCAATGGAATAATTTTTTAAGGAATTTATGTTCATTTTTCAAGTCCGACATCATGGAATTGCCCAGTTGTAAAAACAAAACAAAAAAAATCACTAATCTAATCTAAGGAACCATGTGGTTAGATTGGAATTCTTTAAATATTCAAATTTCAAATAAGATTTTAAAAAAAGAATAAAATTTAAAGAATTTTACATAGTTTTTTCCTATAGAATATGCAAGAAGAAATTTGACAATTTTGCATTTGCAAATTCTGAATATCTCATTAAAAAAAATAGTGCTAATTCAATGCAAACAACATTATTTAAACATTTGATTTTAGATATTAATTTTAAGGAAACTATATCAATAAATTTTATCAAGAGCACTCTTTGGATAAAACACAGTATAAAATGGCTCAATGGGGAGAAAAACCATGAAAAGCTCCCACAGTTAGTCTGACCTCAAGGGTATTCTAGTCCATGACCACTGANGTATTACGGTATATTGCCCAGGCCTAGTGGCCACCCACCTGGAATTATCAAGGATTTTTTTTATACTGGAAAAAACCTGAAAATGTCAGGGAAATTTGGATAAAAAGCTGGAAAAATCAGGGAACTTCAAAGAAAAGTTGGAATTTTTCTCTTAATTTAATCTATTTATTTTACCATATGTTCTATACATTTTTATTTAGATGGAAATTTATTGTCAAATGGTTGGAATATCATCAACTTAGCAATACTTTGCTTGCTTTAAAGTTCTCTCCATTATTACCTTCCTAAATTAAAATACCACATGAATTTAAGGAATTTATGGAATAATTTTTTAAGGAATTTATGTTCATTTTTTAGGTCCGACATCATGGAATTGCCCAGTTGTAAAGACAAAACAAAAAAAAATCACTTATCTAATCTAAGAAACCATGTGGTTAGATTGGAATTCTTTAAATATTCAAATTTCAAATAAGATTAAAAAAAAGAATAAAATTTAAAGAATTTTACCTAGCTTTTTCTTATAGAATATAAAAATAGTGCTAATTCAATACAAACAACATTATTTAAACATTTGATTTTAGATATTAATTTTAAAAAAACTATATCAATGAATTTTATCAGGAGCATTCTTTGGATAAAACACAATATAAAATGGCTCTAAATGTAATAAATATAACTGTAAATGTAAATAAATATACAAATTTATAGATGTATAATCGCCTGAAATTTTTTTTCTTTTGCTTAATGAAAATATATTAAGCAGTACATTTCCAAGACTTTTTTTGTCACTCTGTATTTGCTATTTGGTACATTTTTTGCAAAAACTACTTAATGCTTTAAAAAAAATGTTTTTCATTAAAAGCATTATTTTCTGCAAACTAAACATATTGTTTCCTCCATATCTAATCAAGTTGATATATTAAAAAAATAGCATTTTAAATAAAATACCTTATGATAATTTTTACTGGAGAAATCAGGTAAATTTGTGACCTGATTTGAGTAGCCACCCTGTAATTTTTAGGACTTTGATATCCTTTTCCACACCATCTAGCCATCTGTTCTTAGGCCTATCTCTAACTCTAGTTTCCATTGACTTGTTATTGAAGATCTTAAATTTCAAGGAAGAAGGGCCCATTTGACATATGTAACCTGCAATCTTTAAGCGACTTATTTTGATTTATTTGTTGATATCAACTTCCTCGAATAGCCTATATAGTTCAAAATAATATTATCGTCTTCACAAGCCTTCTGCATTTAAAGCACCAAAAAGTTTTTTTCAATGCTTTAATTCATATTAATCCCGTTGAAATTAAAGTAACAATGCATTTTTAAAAATATTTTTATAAAGTTAACGTTAATATTTTTTTGTAAATTTGTTTTCATGTGATAATATGTGTTATAAAATTGCTTTGTCAAAAACTGGTGTGTAAGGCCAATAATTTTGCATTTTTTCATCTTCTGCAACCATTCCTTGAACCAACGCATAACCTTGAGCACTACAGGTTACCCCCAACATTTACATCAATTAATGTATAAATATCAAACATGATGTTTGTTACATTTACTCAAATTGTCACAAATTGTAATTTTTTTTTCTGCATCTGTTTACTGTTTTTCTTTTCAAAAAAAAAAATGTTTCTTATGGTAGAATTTCTGAACGATAGATGCAGGCGATCTAACCATAATAATCGATAATATCAAAATGAACGATAATATCAAAAGCGATCTAACCATATATAATTAACGTTATAAGAGTAGCATTCATGATGGGACAGTTAATACAAGATGATAGTTATGGGAAAGAGAAAGATGTAGGAATGATAAATCAAGGGTCGACTGCATATGTATTTAAAAACAGTTAAATTTATATATAATGTATAATAATCATATCTTGTCCTTTTTTGCATATTTTTTTATTTATTCAGCAATAATTGTTATATCTAATTAAATATTGAAACATGTTTAATATTGTAGGCTAATTTGGGAAACATGGATACTACAAAAGAACAGTGGAAGTTGGCAACTGGTAACATGGCACTAATACAGGTAATAAACACTGAAAAAAAAGGAATTTTTTTTTTAAATTTATTTTTCGAATAAACTAATATGTTGTAGTTGTTTGTTTCAGATTTTGATATTCACTCACATTCTTAAAGCTTACATTTTTATTTTTAGTTATTAATATATTTTATACCATTTTTAGTTTGGCTGAAAGACTTTTTTTCCTAAATATTTGGTTTCATTTTTAAGTATTGTTAACTGTTTGTGGTGCTTTGTTTAAGATTTTAAAATTTTTTTCAGTGCCAGGCAATAGTTGTGGGCTTCCTAGCATCTTTATTTGCAATGATCATGGGTTGGATACCTGAAGGCAAATTTAATTTAGAGCATGCTGCCCTTCTGTGTGCTTCTAGTTTGGTAACAGCCTCATTGGCAAGTTTTGTGCTAGGTATGAACATTTGAAACATTATTATATTACTTAACTGCTTATGCTTCGGAAAAGTCTCACATTTTGTTTATTTGAAAACATTGTACAATTGTGTTGTTCTTGCTTTCCCAAAAGAGTTAGCATGTGATCTTTTAAATCAAGTTATTTTCTTTTTTGAGATTGGATTGACATGTCTCCCTTGTGTTTTTTGTGACATTTTTAGGCTCAACATATTTGTTTAATGCATTCAAATATGTTTTATAAATTAATCAGTTTGTTAATAAATTCAGATAAAAAAAAATTATTTGATTTTAAGCTTTTTGCTCATTTTATGTTTTTTTTTTTATTATTATGCTTGACGAAATATACTCTCTTACAAGAATGCCCACACCTGGTATAAGGAATATATCATTATTACTTTACCCTAGCCAACAACAAAAAAAAAATTGGAAATAGAATCCTATATTTGCCAGTTTTTGGAAATCGGAATGTTAACGTAACACTTTAACATATTCAAAGATTGAGAAAGTTAGCTGTCATCACTTATCTGTATTTATGAAAATTAAAAGCTATTTCTTTTAAGCTTTGACAAATGTAAATAAAGGAAGTAAGCAATAAATATGTGCTAATTATCATGTAATTATCAAAAAAATGCAAACAAAATAAGGAAAAAAACTCAAGTTTGACTAGTAACGTTTGTAGATAAAATATACCCTTTTTTTTCTTTAAATTTGTCGATCAATGGAATGTTACATTTTCACACTTCTTCATTAAATCATTCCAGACAATCAAAAAGAGAATGGAATGTCTCCCGTTAATCCGCATCCTCTGCAATTCCTAATTCAGCACATATGCATACTAATGCAAGTGTACTGTATTGTGATCTGGTGGAGCTCTGGAGTCCAAAAAGCTCGTTTCATGTATGATGATGTGAAGGGAGAATGAAATTTTTTTATTTATATGTTTACGAACCGTTATTTGTTCATGACATAAAAAAATTTTTAAAAAATGTGATACTCCTTATATATTTAATTTGCATGCTATTACGATTAGCAAAAATTTTATTCTTTTACAGTATGTAATTTTCATATTGTACAATTTACTAGTTTTTTCTTTTTATCAAGATTAAGAAAAATGTGAACACTACGTCTAATCTAGAAAGGTTTATTAATTGTGAAAATGAACAAACGACAAGAATAAATAGAAAAGGAGATAAGAATGCAAAAAACTAAAATTAATCCTTCGTTAATTTTATAACCAGCAATTTTTGTTTAAATTTGTTTTTAGAAATTAATAGCTTATTCATTTTAATATAATTTTTCGCAATATAAAGTTCTAAACTCGTTGCTTAATGCAGATATATCAAAAATTATAGCAAGCTAACACACCCTTTGTTCAAGACCATACTTGAGAGGGGGGCAGGAAGAAACAGAGCCAACCCAACTATATTCAGTGTTGCAAAGTTACCAAAATTCTTTATTAAAGCGTTATATTAATTTTATGGCAATTTAATTTACCTGGAATCAAAAACATAGAAGTGTATTTTAAATATAAAGTTATTAAAAAAAACAAATTTCAATAAATTTTATGAATTAAATCTGAAATTTTCTATTTCCTATTATTATTATCCAAATGATAGAAGAAATAACTATTGTATTTTCCTGTTGTGCGCCAATTTTTGTTTTGCATTAAATTTGAATTATTCATAAACTTAATTACATAAATCATTATGTTAACTTTCCACCTTTTTTTTCTGGCATCCCTATTGAGTCATCTGGGCTTGCCTAGTGGATGGTTCAGTTCTGAGACACCGAGACTATTGTCCCAGGGTCAGGGCCCCGATTAGATTTTTTTTTTTTTACAAGTGATTTGAAAAGTGAATTATAATTTTTTTTATATATATATGTTTGTATATATTGTTAAGTAAAAACCTTTTTTTTCTTCATATATATGTTTGTATATATTGTTATGTTGCCTTTCCAAACATCGATTCTGTATAAATATATTACCAAGCCCTATTTGCACACTGTGTAATATCCAAGAAGAAGTGGACATAAACCACATTAGGCACTGCCCCGCACTAAACTCGGGACACTTGTGGGAGAAGTATTGGAGAGCCCGTCTCAAAATGAACGATCTATAGACTCGCTGTAGCTTTGTTTTTGTTGTATTGTTCATGTTTCCTTCTGCTTCTCATGTTATTGTCTGTTTTTCAACTACAGTTGTCTTTTGATCTGCCATTGGAAATAAAAAAATATATATATTGCTATGTATATAATTTAGGGAAGAAGTTTTTTTATTTAGTAAGTATGAATAAAAAATATAATTGCGCAAACATTTGATTTAGCTAAAATAATGATTTAGAAAAACTGGAAATTAGTTTTTTATTATATTTATGAGGATAGATATTTCAAGAATTTAGGGTAAACCATTGTTTTGAAAAGTGTTTTTAAAATGCTTGCAAAATGTAAAAATTAGACTTCTTGTGTTTGGAGGAAGGGATCCTGGTGCCTATAAAATGTGTCCAAACTTATTTTTTATGAGTTGTGTATTATTAGAGTTATTTTTCTGGGAAGCTATTTGAAATTTCTTTATTGTTTTATTAATTAAAATTAAACTTTCAGTTATAACTAATATAGTCGTTTATTTTTGTAGGTTGTGTTATGGTTGGGGTAGTTATTTGTTCAAGGAAGCTGCATATAAATCCAGATAATGTTGCCACTCCAATAGCAGCCTCTTTGGGAGATTTGACTACTCTATCTCTACTAGCTGGTATCAGCTATGTTTTATATAGTAAATTAGGTATGTATGCACATCACAAATATATATTAAATGGGCAGTTTTCCAAACATAACACAATCTAAATTTTGAGCTCTGACAGCAAGATAAATTTTATTCAGAATCATAATTTTTAATTCTGTTTAATGACAGTAAGTAGTAAATGGTGACTGATGCATGTTAAATCTGTCGAGTCGCAAAGTTCCCATGTTTCCATAACAAATCAAAACCTCTGGGGGTACTGATCCAGGAGTTTCCTTGTCTTCTGGAGGGATTCAAAGTTACAAGGCTACAGAGTTGAACATTGGTAGTCGTAAACCCAAAATTGGGTTGGCTGTTCAACGACAGATATAATAAAAAATTACAATAAGTAGCATAAATTATTGCAAAAGTATTCTATAAATTCTGTATATAAAATATTTTTTGCTTACCGAATGGTCAATTTTTGGCGTTCGTGGTAAATTTTGAGCCAATATAACACCAAAAATAAGTTATTAAATCGTGTCTGGATACTACAAATAAAAATAAAAGTTTAAAGTTCCTGCCATTTGTTAAAAGCCATGGATAAGTTATATTACTGTACGAATTTTTTTTTAGTTAAAGCAATTTTGTTTTGATGTATGTCCCAAAAAGTACTGTACGAACTATGCTACAAAGATAAAGATTAAAGTTGCTGTATTTACAGATAACCTACAAGATTTCTAGGATTAAAATTTTAAAAACTAAATGACAATATGCACTTGTTAATTTTGTATGGAAGTGATAAATTTTAGAATTTTATTTTTCATGAAAAAGTATTATAATAAGGCATTATAATAAGAATAAATAATTTTCAGACATTGTTTAATATTGGTTATTTTATTTTCAGACACTCCTGGTTATGCAATATCACTTATCATTTTCTTTCTAATATTAACCCCTCTCTGGGTAGTGGTTGCAAAAAACAATAAATATACCTGTGAAGTTTTATATTCAGGATGGACTCCTGTTATATCTGCTATGGCAATTTCAAGGTAATATATTATTTTGATATTATTTTTAGGAATAAGATAGTACGATTATAGGTTAAAACAATGTTAAAAATCTCAAAAAGTAACAGTTTTATATGATAAATCTTTATAATTTTCCAAATTTTTTTAAAATTTTTACATTTTTTAACTGTCAATACATTAACTGTATGTTTTTCAACTTTATTTTTATTAATACTTGATATAAGTCTGTATCATCTCTATTCTTAATATCTTTGCCATTTTTTTGAAGGTGTATACTATTTGTCACCAAAACGCATCGAAATTTTAATGAATTTTACTATTTATGATTTAAAATGTTGTTTTTGCTTAATCAGTCTTTTTTCCAGTTATAAACTTGAATAGATGTTCTCCATTTTCTCAGAATAAATATGCTGTGTATTTCATCCATTTGCTGTTGTTAAAAATTGTTTTTTTTAAAAAACTTTGGTTACATTACCTCTTATGAAAATAATAANTATCTGTATTGATGAAAGTTAAAAGCTATTTCTTTTGAGCTTTGACAAATGTAAATAAAGGAAGTAAACAATAAATATGTGCTAATTATCATGCAATTATCAAAAAAATGCAAACAAAGTAAGAAAAAAAACTAGTTACGTTTAGTTACGTTTGTAGATAAAATTTACCCTTTTTTTTAATTTGTTGATCAATGGAATGTTACATTTTCAAACTTCTTCATTAAATCATTCCAGACCATCAAAAAGAGAAAGGAATGTCTCCCATGAATCCGCACCCTCTGCAATTCCTAATTCAGCACATATGTATACTAATGCAAGTGTACTGTATTGTGAGTTGGTGGAGATCTGGAGTCCGAAAGGCTCGTTTCATGTATGATGATGTGAAGGGAGACTGACATTTTTTTATTTATTTTTTATGACATAAAAATATGTGATAGTCCTTATATATTTAATTTTCACGCTATTATGGTTGTCCAAAAATTTATTCTTTTACAGTATGTAATTTTCCTATTGTACAATTTACTAGTTTTTTTTATCAAGATTGAGAAAAATGTGAATACTACGTCTAATCCAAAAAGGTTTATTAATTGTGACGATGAACAAAAGACAAGAAATAAAAAAGAAGATAAGAATGCAAAATAAAAAATTAATCTTTCGTTAATTTCGTAACCAGCAATCTTTTTGTTTCAATTTATTTTTAGAAATTTATGGCTTATTCATTTTAATATAATTTTTCACTATAAAAAGTTCTAAACTCGTTGCTTAATGCGGATATATAAAAAATTATAGCAAGCTAACACACCATTTGTTCAAGGGGGAGGGAAAAAACAGGGCTGACGCAACTATCTTCAGTGCTCCAAAGTTTCCAAAATTCCTTCATATATATATATTAAAAAGTTATATTAACTTTATAGTAATTTAATTTACCTGGAGTCAAAAACATAGAAGTGTATTTCCTATTATTATTATCTAAGTAATGGAAGAAATAACTATTGTATTTTCCAGTTGTGTGCCAATTTCTGTTTTGCATTATATTTGAATTATTCATAAACTTGATTATATAAATGATTGTGTTAACCATCCACCTTTTTTTTTTTTTTTTTGCATCCTTATTGAGTCATCTGGGTTTGTCTCATGGAAGGTCCAGTTCTGAGAGACCGAGACTATTGTCCCAGAGTCAGTTGAGATCAGAGCCCCGATTAGAATTTTTTTTGCAAGTGATTTGAAAAGTGAATTGCAATTTTTTTTCATACACATATTTGTATATATTGTTATGTACATAAATTAGGGAGGATGTTTTTTATTTTTTTTATTTAGTAAATAGGAATAAAAATATAATTGCACAAGCATTTGGATTTAGCTAAAGTAATGTTTAAAAAAAACTGGAAATCAATATTTTATTATATTTATAAAGATAGATATTTCAAAAATCTAGAGTAAGCCATTGTTTTGAAACATATTTTTTAAAATGATTGCAAAATATAAAAAATTAGACTTTTTGTGTTTGGAGGAAGGGTTCCTCCTGGGGCCTATAAAATGTGTTCAAACTTATTTTTTAAGAATTTTGTATTATTAGAGTTATTTTTCAGGGAAGCTATTTGAAATTTCTTCAAAATTTAAATTAAACTTTCGGTTATAACTAATATAGTCGTTTATTTTTGTAGGTTGTGTTATGGTTGGAGTAGTTATTTGTTCAAGGAAGCTACATATAAACCCAGATAATGTTGCCACTCCAATAGCAGCCTCTTTGGGAGATTTAACTACTCTGTCTCTTCTTGCTGGTATCAGCTATGTTTTATATAGTAAACTAGGTATGTATGCATTTATGTTAAATGGGCAGTTTTCCAAACATTACACAATCTAAATTTTGAGCTCTGACAACAAAATAATTTTTGTCCAGAGTCGTAATTTTTAATTCTGTTTAATGACAGTAAGTAGTAAATGGTGACTGATGCACGTTAAATCTGTCGAGTCGCAAAGTCCCCTATGTCCCCATAACAAATCAATACCTCTGGAGGTTACTGATTCAGGAGTTTCCTTGCCTTCTGGAGTGATTCAAAATTACAAGGCTACGGAGTTGAACATTAGTAGTCGTAAACCTAAAATTGGATCAGCTGTTCGGCGACGGATATAAAATAAAATAAAATGACAGTAAGCAACATAAATTATAGCAAAAATGTTCGATAAATACTCTATATAAAATGTTTTTGCCGCCCCAATGGTCAATTTTTGACGTTCGGGATAAATTTTGAGCCAATATAACACCAAATTTTTTGTTTTAAATCGTGTCTAGATACAACAAATAAAAGTTTAAAATTGCTGCTATTTGTTAAAAGCTATAGATAAGTTATATTACTGTCCAGAATTTTTTTAGGTAAAGCAATTTTGTTTTGATATATGTTCCCAAAAGTGTTGACCAACCATGCTATGATTTTGACAAAGATAAAAGATTAAAGTTGCTTTATTTACAGATAAATTAGCCTACAAGGTTTCGAAGAAAAACATTTTCTGAAACTAAATTGCTAAAATATACACTTGTTTATTTTGTATGAAAGCGATTCATTTTATAATTTTATTTTTCATGAGAAAGTAATATAATAAAGCATTATAATAAGAATTAATGATTTCAGACATTGTTTAATATTGGTTATTTTATTTTCAGACACTCCTGGTTATGCAATATCACTTATCATTTTCTTTCTAATACTAACCCCTCTCTGGGTAGTGGTTGCAAAAAACAATAAATATACCTGTGAAGTTTTATATTCAGGATGGACTCCTGTTATATCTGCTATGGCAATTTCCAGGTAATATATTATTTTGATATTATTTTTAGGAATAAGATAGGAATGATTATAGGTTAAAACAATGTTTAAAATCTCAAAAAGTAAAAACTTTAAAACCTAGAACCATTTTATATGGTAAATCTTTGTAATTTTCCTATTTTTTTTTTTTTTTTAATTTTTACATTTTTCAACTGTTAGTACATTAATTATATTTTTTTCTAGTGATATTAAGTTACCACTTAATATCACTAGAATATAGATAAACCTATATTCTAGTGATATTAAGTCTATACCATATAAAATGGTTCTAGGTTATTCACTAGATAAACCTAGAACCATTTTATATGGTAAATCTTTGTAATTTTCCTATTTTATTTTTTTTTTAATTTTTACATTTTTTAACTGTTAGTACATTAATTATATTTTTTTCTAGTGATATTAAGTTACGACTTTTGTAAGTCTATATAAAATTGTCTCTAATTGAATTAAATTAGATTATATTTATTTTTCACTAACTATACATTTTTCTCAGGTACTCTTTTAAACCTTATTTTTATAACTACTTGATGTTTGCATCATCTCTATTTTTAATATCTTTGCCATTTATTTTGAAGATGCATACCATTTGTCACCAAAACACATCTAAATTTTAATCAAATTTACTATTTGTGATTTAAAATGTTTTTTTTTTCTTAATCAGACTTTTTCCAATTATAAACTTGAATAGATGTTCTCCATTTTCTTAGAATAAATATGCTGTTTATTTTATTAATTTGCTGTTGTTAAAAATTGTTTTTTAAAAACTTTGGTTACATCACTTCTTATGAAAATAATTGAGTTACTTACGTAAAATTTTTTGGATCAAAAATATATTCTTAACCCACTTACTATTGAACAATTGCATTTATTGTTTAATTTCAACAGTTCAAAATCTTAATAACCAGTAACTGTCTTCTTTATTTGTTCTTCAAATTAGTATTGGAGGGTGTATCCTTGATTTTGCTGTGGACAAATTTCATGGTATTGCTGTGTTCCAGCCTGTCATTAATGGTATGTCTCTACTTTTTGACTTTAACTATAATTATCTATGTGATGATTTAATTCTATTATTTTTTAGAAATACTAATGAATCAATCGATGAAATTAATTCAATGGTGAAAGACTGGACCTGTCCATTTCAGCGACTATCACTTCACCTGCAGATCATTTCATCAATAGGGTTATTTTGTTGATAGGCCTTTTTGTCACCAGGGTAATTTCCTTGACAGGGTCCTTTAATGGACAGTGATGTTTCGTTGACAGGGTAATTTCATTGATAAGTTTTTTGGTCTATAGGTTCTTTTAAAGTTACAATTTATACCCCTGTAATATATATTTGTTTAGGAGACTAACGGTGCACAACCTTTTTGTGAAGAGGGTGACAGGAAAAAAAATTTAAGCTTGGAGGAACGACTTCAGAAGCAATAAAGCTTTCTTCAGCAAAAAATTCAGTTTTTATGTCGGTAGATAATAACTTAATTGTTTATTTATGTAATTATAGAAAAATTTATTTCTTTTACGAAATTAAAGAGAAGTAACATCAAACATAATGATCATATTTTTGAATTAAAACTCTTTTGAAGTTTTATACATTTTATCATTTAAACGAAAATTTGAATTGTAGCATGTTTTTATCTTTTTACTGTGGATAAATTTAATTTATAATTTTTTTTTAACTTTATGTAAATAACGTTAACATAAAGTTACATTATTTACATAAAGTAATGCAGTACTTTTTTTTTCTTCAAAGTTTAAAGTGACAGTTGTAATTTTTTATGCCAGTTATGTAAATTTTTTGAGTTAATATTTTGTTGCAATGTGGAAGCTATTCATTGACTATGTGAGGGTTGCATACAAGTACACAAACACTCACCCATGACATCTATTTCCATTTTTAGGGCCTCTATCTTTTATTTGCCTTGATCAACTTCTATGAATACATATGTAGTTCTATCTCTTATTTTAAATGTTAAATCAATACACAAAGAATTTGTTTTAGATTGTGGGAGATGGCATGATTTTTGCCATTAAAGCATTCTTGTACTAAGATGTAAAAAAGAAATATATATGAAAAAATTAATTAATATAAATCATTGATCTGTTTATTTCTCAAAAAACAAGCTTCTGAATTTGAAATAATAGTGCATCTTTGTTATCCCAACACTATAACGTTCTTTTAAATAACTTTATTTTTCATTTAAATGTGATTGTTTTTCTGCAAACTTATTAACTAAATAATGCAGTTTTAACTCATGCCCTCATTTTAATAAATTTAATATCCTCAGATTTTGTTATTTATATTTTGTTAATCCTATTTATGTTCATTAGGTGTTGGGGGCAACTTAGTTGCTGTACAAGCCAGTCGCATATCCACATACTTACATCAAAGATCAAAATTAGGAGTTTTACCGAAAGAAGATAGAGTTATTTGTACAAACCCTTTAACAACTTTCTTTGGAAATAGTAAGGTTTTTAAACTTCACATACTGTAGAATTCTGATTATCTGACGACTGATTCTAATGTACCTTTTTTAAGCTGTATTTTTACATTGTCTGTTTCAGAGGAAAATGCCCCCTGTTATAATTTTCATAACTAAAATAATTTGGTTATTATTTTAGTTTTTTGGGATTTTTTTTACAATGTTTTCTTGCATTTGAACATTTTTAATATCCCTTTTAATGATTATGTGCTCTTGTGCTAGATAATTTATGCTTCCTTTCCTTCAAACTCTTAAAATTGGTATTTTAAAATCAACACTACATGGTGTGATATAACTTAAGAGTGTTTTCTCATTATTTATGCTTTATAATTAACAATTATATTTATAAAGTTCAATTAGTTTTTTAATTAACTCTAATGCAACTAAATTGGTCTAATCTCCTCCAAACAAATAATTTTATTATAATTTCTAGGAAACAATTATAATTTTGCTTCTATGTGAATCTAACTCTGCCCTTAATTTTTACCCCTTCGCTTATACATGTTCTTAGCAGAATTTCTAAGCTAGCTTCAAAAAATACAATTCTGTTACCAATATTGTGAAAATTCATAATTTGAGTGATTTAGTGATTTGCATGATTAGAAATGTCTTAATTTTAAATGAATGTTCGAAGTAGAACAAAATTATTATCAGTTTTAAAGGTATAAAAACCTGGTATATGAAATTAATGAAGATGGCTGCTCTGAAATTGAGCACTTTTCATGTGCAGTAACTTATTTCTAGCAAATGTCAAAAATTATTATTATTATTTTGAACTGAATAAAGTGAAACATAAAGGCTTAGGCCAATACAGTAGTAAGTTACATATTTTCCAAGGTCAGCATTTTTGCATCAAACTGTTCCTTAGCATTGATCCTAGATAGAATATAAGTATTGTTATTGTTTGGTTTATTATCTACTTAGTATTGCATTTGGTATTTCCACTAGATAACTTCAAAATCCACTGAAACATCTTATTCCTTACGTAGAACTCTTGTTATTTTTCAGTAGAATTTCTCATCTGGTCAATTTAATATAGATGTGGCTTATCACTTTATTGTTCCATTCTGGTTAAATGGTGAGACTTAGTTAATTAAATGCCAGAGAAATGATTCTTCAATTAAATGTAAAAGCTATATTTGCTGTTTTATTCCTGATCTTATAGACTTAATTCTTGTTAATTCATTTAGTAAAATCTGAAATCAATTAAGTAATTAAAATTTTGTATAATCAAATAAGTATATAACTTTAAAAACAATAACTATTTCAATGACAAAACATTTTTTGCCATATTTATTTACTATGCATAAACCTGTATTGTAAATACATGAGAAAATAAGCCCTAAATAACGAATTTACTATGCACCTTTATAGTAAATCTGTTATTTATAGTATTTTTTATTACTATATACCTACATAATCAATAAATTTATTACTATACACCTGTATTGTAAATAAATTTACAAATGTATAGTTATATAGTAAGTTTACTTACTATGCATAATTCTTAATATTTATTTACTGTGCATAAGCTTGCACCAAAAGTATACCAATGTATACTTTTATACGTATACTTACGTAAAAGTATATCAGTACAATATCTATATATTCTATATCTGATCTATATGTTCCATATGTTAAAAGATATGTGCATAATTCCATTAAAAAGGTTGATATGAAACTAGTATTTTATTTATTTATCCAGGCATTCACTCGATCACCGCCCGTGTGTTGATGTTGATGGTGATTCCGGGTCACTTGGTGTTCACTTATGGCATTCGTTTCATGAATGCTGGTCACACGTCTTTGACGCCAATGTTTTTAGCATTTTATTTGCTTGCTGCTGTGATACAAGTAAGTTATGTTTTAACTTTTTAATGATATCTAAAAATGCATTAGAATTTTTTGAGAAACTCAAATGAAAAAGTCTGCATTTTCATAAACATTTATGAAAATATGATAGATATATTCTTATTTCACAAATTGATATTCATTTATCTGAAAGTACCTGAAATTTTATTTTGTCTAAGAAATTTTATTTTATCTCTGAAATTAATTTCATCTGAAAATTTTTTTTATTTAATTGGTAAGAAATCTTCAATTTTTTCCATTGAAATAAACCTCTCTGCAATAAGTCTTTTAATCTCATATTTCATGGTAAAAGTAAGTAGTAAATGGGGGACAAAAGGATTTTCATAAAACTTTCATGGTATGTGGTTAAAATTATTCTATGCTAAATCAAATCGTAATAAGAGTTTGTGTGGAGAAAAAAAAATTTTTGTAAAACAATGTCATGCTTCACTATATTTCTTAGAATAATGTATTGAATAAAAAGAAGTGTCCAAATGTTTAACTAATAAAAAAGAAAAAAATTAAGTTAAAGTAGGCAAGTTGAGACAAGTTAAATTTTCTAAAATTGAGTTGGAACCTTACTATTTTTTTCCATGCATTAGATTACTAGAATCTTTTTTATTGCTTAATTCTGATTATAATTAATTTACTACATATTTTTAATAACCAAAACATCTGTCTTATACTCTTATAAGAATCTTGAAGGAAAACTGATATTGTTGAATTTAAAACTGCCATCTTGTATTTGTATTAAACGTTCATTTATATATTACCACAAGTCATAAATCTGCAAATTTTTAATTTAAATGGTATTAATGTGACATATCTTTTAATCCATGAAGTGGTAGTACAATTGTTGGTTAGTTTGATGTTCTAGATCCAGCATATTAAATACTGAAAATTAAAAAAAGAATTAATTCCTCTTTTGTATCAAATGAAAAAGGTGCATTAAAATTTGCAATAGTATGTGTTTAAATTTTTTAAAAAAGCTTTGCTTAACTAAAACTATTTGCTTTAGTAAACAAATTGTTATAATTTTATTCTCTCTATTCATAAGTATATATTTATATTATTCATAATTATATATTTGAATTATTTTTTTTATTTCCAATGAGCTACACAATCGGTCTTGCCGATAAGCAGACCTAGTGCGTTCTCCAGAGGTGGTATCCACTCTTTCAGGACCACCACAATGGGTGAGATACCGTTGGTCATGTTAATTTGGACGTCTAGTTTCTGCCACATTAGATGGCAGCACCAAGACTATTTGGATGTTAAAGTGCACTAGGAATTTAATTTTGACGGAAATGCCAAGAGCTAATAAGGCACTCCAGGGATCTTTTACATGCCGCATAATCATACGACATGGCAGCTGAGGATTTTCTGCAGCCCGAAAATCCGGTGTCTGGGCCGGGGATCGAACCCGCAAACTTGGGCTCAGAAGGCCGACCACAAACCAACTGCGCCACCCAGCCACTTATATATATATTTGAATTATTATTTCGACTTATATATAAAGCTTAATCATGTAAATATACACCTGAAGTATAAAAAAAAAATTAAGTATATAAATAATATAAATGTTTCCTTTTTGGGCAAAATAGTTTGACACACATTTTTATTTATTTTTTCATGATTTGACTCAATATTCTCGGACATTTTGTTCTCTAATGGCTGTAAAATAAAAACTTTCTTACCCGGTCAGCAAGTATTCCCCTACTGGTCGGCGCTAACTAGAATATTTTTGTCTTTTTAGTGACACCTTTTTGCAATTAAACACTGAATATTGATTGCTACAAACTTCTAAATTATTTGCTATTTTGAACCTATTTATTATTTTAAGTTCATTTTTAGTATTATGCAAAGTATGATGTTTAGATAAATGAATAATTAATCTTTTAGGTGACTCTTCTGTTATATATTGCTCAGGTGATGGTGCATTGGATGTGGGGGAAGAAAATCGATCCAGATAACTCTGCCATACCCTATCTCACTGCTTTAGGGGATTTATTGGGCACTGCTCTACTGGCAGTTGCATTTAGTATTTTATATGAAATTGGTGATAAAGATTATGATGTTGGTGAATAATGCGTTCCTTTCTTATTTTGTAATGGTTTTTTTATTGTTTAGATGTGGTTTTTTTTTATTACTCTGTTAAATAGAAATTACCTGTGTTTCTTTGTTTTTTTTAATTAATTTCAGAGATCTCATCAGTAGTTGTGGGCAAAATTGGTTCTGAATGTCTTTCTAAGATATTTTCCCCCCAATTCAGGCTGTAACTAGGATTTGAATTTGGAAGGGTATTCACACTTTGATATGTATCTGTTCCTGAAAAATTAAAATCACTGATGCACATGTTTGTAAATAATTTACATACTGTTTTAAAGAGTATGTCTAGAAAGTATGGATTTAATGAAATATCTCAAGACACGCTTATTGGATTAAGAATCTATGAATACACATGTTTTTAAAAAATGCATTCAATGATGTTAGATCTGACCCCTAATTCATAAAAAATAGAACATAGGACAACTTCAAAATCATAAATAGAAACTGCCATTTAATATTGCTGGTTTGGATACTCCAAAAAAAGTACCCTGCACTTTTTTCTTCTTGAAAATTGAACAAATGCAGTAAAAAATTGGGGATTCTTATCTGAATTCTAATCTTATCTTAATTTGTCTTAAATTGCTGTACTTTTTATGAGAAAGTCGAAATCTGCAAAAATGAAAGAGGCTCTCATTTAAGATTTTGAACTTTCCCAGCGCTGCACCTAAGGTACAAGGTTGCCGTTTCAACCTTTAACATCCATAGCTCTATCTTTATTTTACTCGAGGTTGTTTTAAATTCCAGGCCAAAAGCATTGTCTGCCTGTATTTATTTATTTATTTTACTATTCCAAGTTCAGAAGGTCAATTTTTAAGTAATACAATTTTTGCTATCCTATCATATTGCATCTAGGAGTCAAAATTCTGTATGGCTTTTTTTTATTATTAAGGTTTTTTGAGTTTTGTTCAGAGTTTATTTTAAAATTTTAATTTGTTGTGGAGAGTCTTTTTACAGAGTTTGATTGTTTCTGAAAGGTCTTTTTACGAGATATGCATTTTCTGAAAGTTTAATTTTTGTGAATTGGATTTTAAAAAAAGAGTTATGTAAAAGAACACGATTTTTTTTCTAGATCGATTCCTCTTTTTAAATAATAAATTTATATTTTACAAAATATTAAAAAAAATGGCTTATTATAAAATTTTTAAACTAAAGAGACAATAAAGATTTAAGGGAAAATGTCAAATATTTGGTTGAATACCCATATTCCACTTCTGGTTACAGGTCTTGAAATCATTGGATCTCATTAACCCTTTCAAACTATTGGAAGAAAATCCCCATCTGAACTATTGGAGGGAAAATATCCAATATTTGGTTGAATACACATATTCCAACTCCTGGTTACAGATCTTGATATCATTGGATCTCATTAACCCTTTCGAACTATTGGAGTGAAAATATCAAATATGAATACCCATATTCCAGTTCCTGGTTACAGATCTTGAAATCATTGGATCTCATTAACCCTTTCGACCCGGCAGCATTAAAATTTAAGTATGAAAAGCAGTTTATGTTAATGCTGACATACTAAAAATAAGTAAATTATGAGTTTAAAGTTTTCCACTTTTCCCGTTTTTCTGAAAGTTGCCTGGGACAATATGCACGAATGGTCTTGAATATTTTAAAACTACCTATATATTGCATGGGAAAAAATAATGAAAGTGAAATATTTAATTATTAATTCTTACCTTAAGTTGCTGTTATAAAATAATCGAAACAAAAACTAAAATTTTGTCTTATAATATTTTATCACTAATGAGATATATTGTCCCACTGGTAAATATGATTGGGATATATTGTCGCACTGATAAGTTCAATTGGGACAATGTATCCCAAGAAACAAAATGTGTCGAAATTTCTAAATCTGATACTAAATAGGTACAATTATTATTTAATAAGAACTATTTTGCACAAAATATGGCAAAAATATAGTTGTACTTACCTTAAAATTCAGAAAATACGTAAATTAAAACGAGATTGACTGGCGTGCTCGCAAACAGAAGTCTGCCCTTTGGAATATGCGAGTGTTGCCAAGTGTCTTTGGTCATGTTTTTTTTTCTGATGCCAAAAGAACCCTCGAAACATAAAAAACCATGCAAAATTGGGATCTTTTTATCCATTAGGGAATAAAGTTTAATCTTTGGGACATATACATCCCGTTCGGGTCAAAAGGGTTAAAAAAAATAGGGGTAGGGAGAAGCTGATCTAGCATTTATGATTAGTAGCTTATAAAAAGCTTTACGGTATTTTTTTAAAAATCTCAATTTATATTTTATTAATTTGTTCGATATGGAATGTGATAAAAAGTAGTATTCGAAATTTGTATTATATATAAAGAATATGTTAGATTATTTGTTTTATCATTTTAGCATACTTATTTATGTTTTTCTTATGCTTATTTATTTTCTTAAAACTGGTGATTTGATCTCTTGAATGGTTTATTACTATTATTACCAATAAAATTTAGCCTCGCTTTGTATAATTTTTGGATTATAGTCACTATAACATTTAGATTAGAATAACAGGTTTTAGCTTGCTAAATGCTATGAACAAAACGTCGAATACAACGTGTCTATATATTGTGATATTTCTTGCAAATAAATAATGTATAATTGGAAAGATTAAATCTTGAATTTGAGCAAATTTTGTGAGAAAAATCTATACCATTCAGGAGGAAAGTGTATTTTTATTTAACTCGTTCAGGACTATAATCAAATGCCTGGTATGAGGCGATTCATGGGCCACAGTATCATATATGAGACAAGTCTTTCCATCTCCTCAGCCTAGTGACTTCTTTTCGGAACATTATATTTAATTGTTTAACACTAGCCCAAGGAAGTCATTTTAACTGCTTTTTTCAATTAGCGAAACAATGATGTATATAATGACAAAGTTTCTTAGAATCTTGTGACTTTTTGTACAACATTTAATTTTTTTATATTTACTAATAACTTGTTTTATAATTGTAAATAATATAAAAAATATTAAAAATTGAACAAATTTCATAACACATTATTTATTCTTACACAATCCAGTCATTTTGACTGCATTTTGGCAATATAGGTATATACTAAGTTTCAGTCTTTTTAGTGTTAACTAGATGTTGAAGTCTTTTATAATTTTAGGTGTTGGCCATCAATGTAAGCTTTTGGTTCCGAGTTTTTTTCCTTCCTTCTTTCATAATTTGTTCTAGGCAGGGCCCGTATACTTGGCTAATAATTTGAAATTCTTAGCATGGGCCCTGTCTAGGTTATTTGAACAGGTAAACAAATGCACAAAAAGATTGGGCACGGGGATTATTGTGCTCTGGGCTTTTGTTTACCTTTCAGTGAAGTGGAAAAGAATGGAATGCTTATTGGTTTATGTGAGTGTAGGCTTGTTGTTTGGTGTTTTCTAAACAGTATTTTGTATGTTTTGAATCAGTATTGCAGTTGTTTTTTGAAATATATGAAACATTTCATTTCATCATGTTCAGGTACTATTAATGATAATAAACTGAAAATTTCATCATTTATGTGTAGTAATGATTTTATATGAATTTTTAATTGAAATTAGGCTTAATGGGAAAACTTGTTTGTTAATGTGCGCACATAAACTCTTGAATCGTGTGGTTTTAGGAAAGTACTTCTTTCTCCTTTTGCCAGTCCTGAATTGGTTAATAAAATTGTTTGCTCTTAAATATGTTTTTACCTTTAATTGTTAGGTACACTAAAATTTATTTTCTCAAAAATTTGAGAAATGCTCCATTTTTTTTAATTTTAAACATTTATTTTAAGTAACACAATTAAAATGTAATATTATAGTAACAGTTATTTTTAACTCATCTCGTGTTGGAAAAATGTTCATAATAAATAATCTAAACTAAACTCAGTGTTCGAGTTGAGTGGTCAACCTAACGTGATCGTAATTAATAAGAGGATACAATGTTTCTGTGCATAGCAAGATTTATATGAGTTCTTGTCATGTCATTAATTATAAATTTAAATACAATGTATGTTCATTTTTTCCTAGCCATGCAGTTCCAATGTATTGTTTATCTTTATTTATTTATGTGTATATCAAATTTTAAATGTTCTCATTTTTATTTTAACGATTTTGTAATACTTTAGATGAATTATTTATTATGACAAATATTTGGTTGAGATTATTTTGATTGGTTTGCAAGTTTTTAGACACATTGGTAAAATCCACAAAAGAGACAATGGTTTTTGTCATCCTGTCTTTAAACTCTTAAGTAAACTGTCTGTCTACAGCTGAGTTTCATTTAAGCAGTATTATCATATGAAATATTGGCAATAAACTATATTGAAAGTTAATGACTTGTTAATTAAACTATTTAGGGAATTCTTGTATATAAAATGTATAAATATTTAATTAAAAACTATAGATTTAAAGAAAACTGGCCCTAATCTTTCTGTTTCTAATTGTCCAAAATTTAATAGTGATGTGAAATATGATATTTAATGCGAAATATGAATTTTAAACAGTGAATACATTTCAAGAAATTATCGAAAATTTATTTTAAACTTTTAATTATGTCCTAGAAATATTTTTAATAAATATATTTAAAATTATAAACATTAATAAAACACATAGTTGCTTGTTAATTTTTATATCTAACAAGTGTACAGTGGAGATTTTGGGGTATTTTTAGAATTTTGGACAGTTTTAGAAATTTTTGGACAATAAATCAGACGTGTTTTTATCTAAAGTCAATTTAGGCCGTCCAAAACCTAATCCTAAATTATTATTGTGAAAAAATGGTTAAATTAACAAATGTTTCTTTTTTCAGTCATTAAAAATATTATTAATTGGCAGTGTTATTGTGCATACCTTCTTGTATTATTTTAATTTTAGGTATTGCCTTTCATTACAAAATGTTGATTATCAAATAAATTTGTTTAAATGTTAATTAAGAAATAATTTTATTTAATTAACAGAATTTATTTTCCCAGAGATTATTAATAGGCCTAATTAATAAATAAAGGTGATTAAGGTAAAATTTTTATACACAGCTTTGCATATATATATATATTTCATAATCAGAAATTGGTTTGACTTTGACAGTCTCGTGTGGAGTTCTCTAAAAAACATAAAATTTTCTTTATTTGCTTGAATCTCTGATTGAAAGAAGCTTTGCATTTTTCTGGTTTTTATAGGAAAAAATATATATTGTACAGATTTGTGTAAAATTGCGTGTAAATAAGTAATGTATAGAAATTATATTAGAACTATTTTTTGCACAACAACCTATTTATTGTATAAACAAGGGAATGTAGAGCTTTATATATTTTTATTTCCTCCAAAAAAAAACATATATATATAATAATTCTGGGAAATGATTGTTTTTAATAGCTATTTTTTAATAGTTACTTATTTTCAATAGTTATATTTTTAATTCTACCAAAGATGACCTAATTTTACTTTTTTCTTCCTGTGTGTAATAGCGATTCTCTTACTCTATTTGTGATAATCCTATAGATTATAAATTGTCTTCTTCGACAGAGAGTATTATTTCAAAATTGTTAATGTTCTGCTTGAATTAAATGAACTATTCAGCATTGTTATTATATTTTTATGTTCTGCCTTTGTTTTATAGATCATCATTATTTTGATGTTTCAATTTAAAATATATGACTTTAATAAACATTAATTCTTTTATTTTTGATGAATTGTTGTTTTTTCTTTTCGTTACTTTTTATCTTCTAAAGTTGCTATTCTTGTTGTCTTGCTTAAAAAAGTATTCGTAGCTGTACTATTTAAAAATAACAACATAGTTTATTCACAATTTGTGTTCCGTGAAAAATAATGAGGAAAGAGTATGGTAAGATCGGGTATCTCGATTATGACGAATTTACTGTTTCCTGGCAAACAGACTCTGAATTATATTCTAAGAAAATGTTAAGAAGATCTTTACATTTCAATTGTTAAGTTCATTTGTTTAAGAAATGTTAAGAAGATGGAGCTATCATATTGGCGTGTTTTTAAAATTATGGCGTCTGTGTTGGTCAACAGTTCCCAAATGGTGTTCTGTGGAATGCTGGGGCTCCGTGGAAGGGTTCCGAGGGTAAGACCGGTTATCTCGATTCTGACGAAATTAGTTCTGTTTCCTGGCGAACTGACTCTGAATTACATTTTAAGAAGATCTTAGTAAGAAGATGGAGCTATCATATTGGCATGTTGTCAAATTTACGGCATCTATGTAGGTTAGCGGTTCCCAAATGGTGTCATGCGGAACTCAGGGGTTACATAGAAGGGTCTTGGGGGTTCTGAGAGTTTCATTTTTTTTAAATCAGTAATAATTTTTGAAACTTGTATTTATACTAAAACAATAAACCATTGTTTCTTACTTTGGTTATTTTAATGAAATTATTAAAGTTACATTCAAGTAAAAAAATCGAAAAATTAATAAAAATCTGCATTAGCATTTCTCTTTAAATTTTTCAAAATAAAATGACCGAAATGAAGAAAAACGAACTGAACTATTCTCAACGTTTATAAGAGTTCTTTTTCGAAAATTATAATTATACTTATTTTGTTCATTTTGTGCTAATGTCTGCACCAAAAACAAATTCAGAACTAGAGTAGATGCCAGTCCTGGCCTGCGAATTTAATTGTTTGAAAAAAAACTTATTATTATAAGAGTTTTATAAATGATAAACTATTTAATAAACGATTATTGAAAAATTTCATTATTTATGTTTTTATTTTATTTTATAACCATTGTTGAACAAGTGACCCAATTTTGGTTTTACAACTGCCAATGTTCAACTCCATAGGCTCCTTTAAATTTTGAACTCAATCCAGAAGACAAGGTAACTCCTGAATTAAGTATTGGGCGAAATTTTGCCTTCGTGGAGGATATTTCGATGGACCTAATCCGCTTTTGCGTTACATGGAGAGGGAAACCACGAAAATTTCTTTAGCTTAGTCTGACGGCAATGGGACTAACCCATGATCCGTCTATCAATAAGGATATAGTTACGTCAGCACTGTGGTCGGTGCGAGCTGAGTGCTAAATTCGTATCGACCAGCCATCGCTGAGATTCGTTTGTTTGAGGTTCAGTAGCCGTATTTAAATTGGGAACCGCTGGAGCGAATTTGTCTTAGTGTCAACTCTCTATGTTTCTGAGCTATCCTTATTTATTGGTCACTACAGTTATAAAAATAATTTTGGCCCAACTTAACTATTACTGAGGATCCACACTCCAACAAACAATAAGGATTTAGAGCAGTAGAAGCCTTGTTCTGTTTCCTTTCAATAACAGCTCAATTATTGTTTTCTTGCGGTTAGAACGGCTACTATTCTCACTATCTAAAAAAGATTTATAATATCTGGAGAAATAAAAGAAAAAACAATATTTTAAAAAAAATTTCTATGAAAGAAAATAAAGTTTTGGCAGTGACTCAAAAAAAAAAGTGGGGAACCTAAAAAAGACCAGATCAAGTGTATGAAGAACCAATATGGATGGTGTTTTCAGTAGAAATGTAAATAATAACAATCTCGAGCTGCATGCCTGCTCTAGTTCCGGTTAGAAAGTTTGCAGCTGCTTACTACATGTTATTCTGCGAGGCGATATTTTCAAACGGATAATTTTATTTTCAATAAAAGAAATAAATTGGATAATTTCTGAGCTCAAATCTGCCGTATTTCATAAGATATTAATGTTATTATGTAATTCTGGTGAGTTTGAAGCGAAAATTTGTTTTAGTTATTTAGAGATATATTGTTAAAAAAGATGACATGGTTGCTAGATTTTGAATAACTCGCTTTTTTGGCAGTCTTCATTTGGCCTCTTTCCGTAAGTTTATTACTGTTTGTTCTTGATGCAAGCTGTGCACCATCTTACGTTAGTGTTAACACTTTTAGCATTGTAAACACAGGTATTGTTAGCATTGTAAACACAAGTAATAAGTAATCAAATACATTGTTTGCAAGAATCTCAAAACACAATGATGCCAAATGGCTTTAAAATACAACGGAAACAGTAACCCGGAAATTTAGGCGGCACCGAGCTTGCAGCGTTCCCTAGCGTAGAAAACACCATCCATAACAAAACTGTTTTACCTAAAAAGAATCCTAAATCCTTGATTGTTGTTTCTTTCGATGAAGACGATAAAAAAAAAAACACTCGATTATTTATAATGCAGCGATGTATTTCTCATGCAAAGAAAATTGGATTTCAATTTGAAAAACTGTTTTCTGGTCCTATGAAAGGAAGCAGATGAATACTTCAAGTGTGAATTTTGGATATAATATTCTATATTGTCTTATAAAAGAAAATGTCAGATAAATGTCTTACTGAAATTCTTGTGTTTCTAAATTTCCTATAGAGTTCACTTTTGCACCTGTTCTAACCCCGCTAGTGGGGCAAGATAGGGAGATTTGTCTTTTTCTAGAGGAAAATCATTTGTAAAAGAAGTAGTGCATATATGACTTTTTATAGAATCATGTATTACACACACCTAAACAATTGATATTTTAACTAAGAGACTCTGGCCCTGCTCGCCAATTCTCACCAGTTTAGCTGCAACAGGCATTTAAATATTAGTTACCCGGTCTTACACTACCTTCACCGTATACCAGGGCTCGAAAAACCGCCCGTCCTCGGCGGTCAAAAATTCCCCGCGGACAACGAATTTCTCGAATCCGACGTCCGCGAGGGCGGCCATTTTCCCGTTAATGTTCGTGATACATTTTCAATTTTTGTTATCTTGCAAGAGTCTAGCGCCTCACTTCTAAAATGAGCCTCTAATCTAGAAATACAGCAACATCTGCGTAAGGTGGAATTGATGTTTTCTCTGTAGCGGAAAGGGGCTTTTCAGCAATGAACTTACAAAAAAGCACATTACGTACTGGTCTTAAACAAGAAGCATTAAAAACGCAATTATGAACATCTACCTAAATGCAAAAGCCCTTTCAGATTTCTGTTCAGAAACCTCTGTAAATCATTGGCTTGATTGTGGAACTGGCAAGCGCCATCTTTGATTCATTTAAAAAACGCAGTACCCTCGGGTAAATTAACATTCCAGGTAACTTGACCTTTGTCATTTAAATTATTTCATAAAAGAAATACTAGGTTACTATTAGTATCCTAGTATTTCTTTTATTACTGTATAATGTAATCCTAGCATTTGTAATCCTAGTAACTACTAATTCATTGTGCAATTTATGTAAAGGTTTGTAATAAATAAGAGAAAATTATGTTTTTATTTATTTAGAAGCTACGGGTTAGTTTCAAAGGAGGACGGGTACATTGTTGGACATGCCGTCCTCGGGGACGGGTAAAATTTCTGAGTTTTTTCGAGCCCTGCCGTATACCCTTGACTATCATGATTAAAGTATCTTCATTATTCATTGAATATATCATATTCATACATTCATATCATATGCATACCTGTCGAATGCTCAGATAGTTTGTTATAGTGAAATGGTTTATCTAGTTAGTATAGCTTTGCCTTCAGTGTAAGGTACTTTTGACTTTTTTATTTTACTTGACAAAAAGATCCTGAAAAATGTTTTTTTAAGAAAAAAAAGATGGCGGAAATTCGATCATTGATTTTTTAAATTTATTCTGGGATGACAAGATACTCCTGTCTATCATAATAGCGAAACAATCTAAATTTTTGTTAATTTCTTCAGTTTTTTCAATATATAAATTCGATTAAAAAAGAACTTAAGTGGTAGCTAACATTAGAAAATATTCATTTAGAATGAATGCAAGTGTTCCGTTGTTTTCATAAGGGCACTTTTCACATCAATAAAGAAAGTACATTTACATTCATTGCTTATGTACAGTTAGAATTTAAAGTCAATCAGTTGAATAGCTTCTGTATAACATTTAACAAAAAAAAAAAAAAAACCAGANAAAAAAAAAAAAAAAAAGCCAGATATAACTAAAAGCCATGTCTTTAAATTGTCATATTTAAACTGTCATATTATTTTCAAAGGCGCAAAACCTATATCTTAACCGGGATATGTTTTTTTACTATATATTTAATTTAATGACAGAGCATCTCCTATAGCCATAGTTGGGTACCACACTTCTCTCCTAAGTAGGGAGTGGTAGGAAGAAAGCGATACGTTAAGGTCATAAATTCATTTCTTCTTTTAAATGTATTAGTTTCAAAGGCGCGAAACCTATATACCTATACGCATATAAACCTATACGTTTTTTATAAACTTGTAGTGTCAAACAAAGAACAAACTTTTAAAAAAACTGTTGCTTTCGAAACAAAACTAATTTCAGATTTGAAATCCCCACAACCGAATTAGGTGAAATCAAGTACCTACTTTTACAAATGCAACAAAAAATTTATTCGCCAGTGTGATTGAAACAAATGTAAAGTAGACGTGATGTTGGTTTTAGGCACATTTTTACACAAGCAAAATTGAAACAATTATTTATTATATCTTTTAATTATAAAATGAAAGACTTTAAATCAAAAATGTTCGCCTTAACTATTCCATATTATGATTTATTGTTTTGAAAACAAACAAACGCGTTATTTTATTTCATTCAAATACGAATCAAATAATATTTGTAATAAATCATAAGGAAGTTAAAAAATAAATCAATAAATACTGATGCATATACATTATTATAATTTTTTTTTTGTATTTATCATAGGTTATTGGTCAATAACTCTTTATTTTGATCAAAGATTTTAT